TATGGGAAACAGCTAAAAATTGCACACGTAACTACATGTAAACGTGGGCAACGCCACGGGTTATACTATTAAACGTATTAAATAAAGGCTACGTGCTCATTAAAATGCTATGCTTTTAATTTATCTGATGTCTCAAATCAATTTGAATAAATCAATGCAGTCAACTAAAATAGAAACATTTTATATTTATTTATACAGATTAATAGTATTTGTTAAGTTATTTTTCCAGCTTAGGTTTGTGTTGCACGTAGCATAAATAGTTTTCGAAATGGTTTTCACTGCCATTCTTCTTAAAATATTCGGTTTTTAGTTAATCAGAAATGTTTCGCGTACTGCTTAATTAGATTAGATGTAAAATTATACTAAATTTGCAGAACAAAAATTGTTCCGTTTTTTCCAAATGGACCTGTTTAACTTTTACAAAATTATAAGGTAACGATTTCTTGACTAAATCGAGATGACAGGGAAATTGCTGTTTTGAGGACTTAGCCTGGGCAGTACTTAAGAATCAAAGTTCTCGGCTACCAAGCTTTCGACAATTTTCATTTCTTGTCTCCATCAAGGTGCTAATATTGCACAACTAACAACTGACGTCACATTTCATAAAAGAAATTAAACATTTTCTACTGGAGCAGTTGAGGTTAAAGGGGTCACATTCCAAACCAGGCATCACCATGAAGAAGAAAAAAATAAAAATTCCCAATTATAAAATTAATTCCACAAAAAACATTTCGATGTCGCTATTTAATAATATACTGTACGTACTTTACGATTACGTTATTTATTTAGGGCGTACACATCCATTACTACATTATTGTGATTAAGTTACAGATCAATAAATTAATCTGTTTAATTTGCGAACTGAGTAGAATCAATATTACAAGTAAAATGTGTTTTTTTAAAAGATGGCACAGGCACGGAAGAATCATAAATTTTATTTTTATTTATGGTTGATGCTATTAAAGAACATTTTAAATATATGCTTATTATGCATATGTGTAGTTATTATATGCACATTGTCGGCGAAATTTAAAATTGTGAAAATCATCTCGAAAACTGACTTTATTGTAGAGCTAAGGCATTTACCTTTAATTATTGGATAAAATAATATGAGATATCTTTCAAACAATTTCAATTTAAAAAATCTAGAGCATTATATTCTGTTTATGTAGGTAAAACATGATTTCGGTGGGATTTTAATATATAAATATATTTTAAAATCGTGAATAAAACTGTCTGTGAATTGCAAACTTTGTTTATCGAGCATTAACGTTCGGTTTGAGTCACATTTGCAATGTATTTGGGTCATTACCTTTGTAGGGATTGCTTCATCCGCACTTATCAGGGCTGTATTTTAAGATATTTGAGGTAAAAAGTTATTGTTTTAACATTCCAATCCAATAACTCTGTTGGAGAGCGTTTGAAGGTAGACTTGGGGATTTAGATAAAGGTAAATCTTGAAACAATCAGCGGGTTGGAATGGGAAATTTTATAGCCAATGAACAGGACAATAAACAAGGAAGCTGATTACTGGATCATGATTAATGGATAAATGAGTTTTGTTGATACAATTTACTTGACAAATATCAATGTGGAAGTGACTAAGAAAATTACAATCCTGTGTCAATTTTGATTCAATAAAAATTAATTTGAACGAATCTCGAATTGTCAACCTTAAACTGTTTATTTTACTTAAATGAAAAAAATGGAGCATTATTGAATCATTTTCCGACAACTAAATGCTAAATTTAATAAAATGAAGATATAGAAATAGCTAAATTCTAATTATTTTCTTCACGTTTTGTGTTTTAGTTCGAAAAACCATTCGTTGTCTTACATCGGTGCCATCAATCAGGATGCTGCCACTCTAACGAACATGAATGTGCGCCCACGAATTCCACTACATTCCAATATTCGTACAACTTTTACTACCAAAATGGAGAAGAAGGTTGCGGGAAAATAATGCTCATGAACGATACTGCCTGTGAGTGTAGGGAAAGAACATTAGTATTAGACAAAGTTTAGGAGGAACAAATTGTTTTAATAGACTGATCAAAGATTGCTAGTCATTATGCATTTGCTCTGCTATTCTTTTAAGCACGTATGTATGTTAAGTAATTTGTTCAATAAAATTGCTCGTACAAGGGACAAAGTTCTATAGTGACATTATTTTTGATCAGCTTTTTTCTAAGTATTTACCTGTATTTTTGTGTAGTCAGTGTAGGCGGTTTATTGCAAATATGATTTGCCTGTATTTATTTATTTATTTATGATAGGCTGAATCTTAAATTGCTCAATATTCATGGACGGTTGTTATCTTATTCTACTTATTTTTTATTTGTTCGTGATATGAAGCAACACGTTAGGTATAAGTTAGTTGATTCCTGTCTATTCTGAAAATGGTGCTTTACATAAAATGCCTGTTTTTATTTATATTAATTGATATATAGACGCTTTAAGATTTATCTGAATCGATTTTAAACATTGTTGTTCAAGGCGCTAGGTTTTTCTACACTAGAAAAATATCTGTCCACTTTAGTTAAACTTAGTTGTAAGGAAACATTGACTCTTTTCACGAATCATCCGTTTTGAAGGGCGTTTTGCAAAAATGAATGCATAACTTTTGTTTTCTTGCCAAGTTGTTACATTGATTCATTCCTTTTAGATCATTAATTTTAAATGCTGAATTGTATAAATTCACATTAAGTGATTTAAATGGCTGTTAATTACAACGAGTATTTACATCTGGTATTTTACAAAAATTTACTACTTAGCACTTTACTTAATACGTAAAACCCTGTGATTATTTCTGAGGCTCGATCTTACAAAATGTGATTATTTTGAAATAAATATAAGTTTAGTTTGCAAGAAATTAAGTTAAACTTATTATCCGAAGTGTGATTGATGAGTTCCAATGGAAAAGTTGAGAACTTTCTAGGGAGATTCGTTTGGATATTGGAATCAGCTGGCAGGCTGAGGTGCAATACAGTACCTACATGAAGGAACTGGTTTTTCCGGAAAGTAACATAATATCTGTTAATCATGATGATTTACAGTTTTTAAGGCGGTGGAATTAGGTCTGTTTAAGATTTTAATGTGGATTTCCGCAATGTTTTGTTTACGGATATTTTGGAACTTAAAATGTTTAAGCAGTTTCGGACTCAGAAAAGTGATAGGGGCTGAGGTGCTTTTAGATTCAAAATTTGGGGATTAGAGGGTATTGAGTTGGTTCGGTTTGCTTGTTTTCTTTGGGAGAAGGAATTGGGTGCATTTGCTGACCTCGGAAAGTAACGTCCGAAAGAATCGATGCTAAAAATCGCTAGAGACCCAAAAGCGCTAAAGGTCCAGTCAAAATAAAATTCTTTCGGCGGTTCGGAAAATAACCAAATTCACTCGTGTTTGTAAAATCAACAAAAGTTTAGTTTTACCCAAGCGTTTGGTGTTCGTCGGTGGAAGATTAGAGGTTTAAAAAAATAAGCGTTTTCTGATTTATATTTGTAAAAACTCGCTCCACGTGACAGCAACAAAAGTTTAAACTCTTGCTTTTTAAAACTAATAACTTTTTTCTCCTTGCCAAGTTTTAAGTTTAAACGTTCTTGTCTACAATTTGCAACTTGAGTAAACCAAATAAAAATCCTTTATAAGAGAAGAATGAGGAAAATGTCACGTCACGTTTTCGTACTTAATATCTCCTCGCTTCAGCGACAGAAGAGTGGAAACTTTTGCAATCAGCAGATCAAATATGGCTTTACCGGCGAGGAAACTTTCGAATAGCATTCTTTCTCAGGAACTTTTTGAAAATTTCAAGTTGAAGTCCTCAAGATCCAAAATAATTTTCTATGATTTCAAAACAAGTTTTAGTTTTGTATAATTTAATAGTTATTACTTTGAAAGCTTATCGCTTTCATTGTTTTCTTTTCTATATGTATAAAAATTAATGTATGTCTGTTTGTCTGTCCATAAAAACTCCAACTTTAACCACCATCGCACCGAACTACAAGGCTGAAATTCTGTAGGTTTCTTAGTTTATTGGATAGTAACTTCCTGACTCTTTTCAACTTTCTCAACAACTCCTTTAGTTTTTTGAGTTACAATTTACATGTAAGTCTATGGGAAACAGCTAAAAATTGCACACGTAACCACAGGTCGCTCCGCTAGTATTAAATAAAGGCTACGTGCTAATCGAAATATTGTAAAATTAATTTATTCGGTCTTGTAATTTATCTCATGTCTCAGCTTAGGTTTGTGATGCACGTAGCAAAAATAGTTTTCAAAATGGTTTTCACTGCCATTTTTCTTAAAATATTCGGTTTTCAGTTAACCAGAAATGTTTCACGTACTGCTTGATTAGATTAGATGTAAAATTATACTAAATTTGCAGAACAAAAATTGTTCCGTTTTTTCCAAATGGACCTTTTTAACTTTTACAAAATTATAAGGTAACGATTTCTCGACTAAATCGAGATGAAAGGGAAATTGCTGTTTTGAGGACTCAGTCTGGGCAGTACTTAAGAATCAAACTTCTCGGCTACCAAGCTGTCGACAATTTTCATTTCTTGTCTCCTTCAAGGTGCTAATATTGCACAACTAACAACTGACGTCACATTTCATAAAATAAACTAAACATTTTCTACTGGAGTAGTTGAGGTTAAAGGGGTCACATTCCAAACCAGGCGTAAAATGTACTTTACGTACGTACAGTTAATTAAAAGTAAAAATAATAACTTTTTTACATTTTTCACAATAAATTTGGATATAATCGCTCAAAAACCTGACAAAAATGGTGAACATTAACGAACGAAAATAAAATCGAATACAATCAGATTTATTTTTGTATGATTGATAACGCATTATTTAAAAGAATCTGTTTGTTTAGTCTATCTGAATTGAATCTGTGATTACAACATCATTATTACCAGTCGTTTAATTAGTTAGTTGGTTAATACATTATCAACCAAAATTTTGCGTTTTATCTTATCTCTACTGATACGAATTAATGGTTTTTAATCAGATACCTCAGTTTGCTTTGAAGAGTGTGTTAGGTGAATTGAAATAGATATGAGTAATAATAGACGCCCGTTCACCTGTTACTTTTGCAACGAATTGATCAAAACTGAAACGGAAATGGTAATTTCAATACTTCTATTAGGAGAAATGGACCGTTTTAAATATATCTATTTAATTACGCATTTGCCATATTAGAGATTCACATAAATTAATTATGCTTCGTATTATTTTACGTTTAGTTTTTGTTGCAATTTAGGGACACAGCACGTTGTGCTCCAAAGTGCTCATTCCCTGCCCGTTTAAATGCGGCTCCTACATTCAAAGGGCCGATTTGGCCAAACACAAGGCTGAATGCAATAATAATTTTCGAAAATCTGCAAATCTAGATGTGGACAAGGTACCGTCAAATGGTACTTTCAACGCTTATTCCCTGGGTAAGTAAAAAACCCGTCAGGAGTCTAGGAAGTATTTGAAAATGGTCCATACATGTGAAAGTGTTACTTGCTGCAACAGAAGCAAATAACTCTTCTGGTAAAAATTTTCAAATATTCGGCAATAACCAGAAATTATTCTCAAAAATGGGCGAGGAAATTGTATAAACTGAAATTGAAGCAAATCTGCTTTTGGCGTTCTTCATTGAAATTAATAGATTTTTAATTTCAACACCGCAGATAAAGCGGTTTTGAACATAAAAGCTTCTCTTCGAACTTCTCTTAACTCTTATTGCTTTATTAACTATCTGTCTGCAACCGTTCATGATTTTTCCCATCTAATCGCTCGGCATTTTTATGTTCAATTGTTATTTTCAATTTCGAGTTTTGCGTTTTAGATCGCAATGGAAAGACAACATTAAATCACCCCAAACTACAAGAAGAAATCGTGAAGTTGCACAAGCGTTTTTCTAGCCTGGAAACTAAAGTAGCATCCCTGAATCAAACCCAAGCAAATGCATCTTTGAATTCAGCTACTACTGCTAGTGCATTAGGAAATATTGAAGATATGCGCTCCACTCTAAAGCAGCATTCGCTCTCTATCCAAAAAGCCAACTATTTTAACGGCTTTATTTCGGAATGGAAGAAAAACGTCGACTCACAAGTAAATTCTTACAATCACTTGCATTTTTTCTTCCGAAAACTCAACCAAATTTCATTTTTTCTTCGAATAAAATTGAACTTCTTCTCAGTTTCGCCGATCAGTTAAACCCTATTCAAATTTCCAGATCACTGCTTTGAAGAGTTCCTTGTCATCAGCCGATACACTGAAAACAGAGTCAGCGAAAAAATGGGAGTTTGTTCAAGAAAAACTTATTCACCTGCAAAATCTTCAAATGGACTTAAGCCTGCTAAAGCAGACCTTGTTCAAAGACAGCTCGCATTTCAGGAAGACTCAAATGGACTTTGCGACTAATCTGGAGGACATTAGAGCGACATTTAATCAACAGATTGCCTCGTTTGAAAACATGTGGCACCAGCAGACCAGTGTTATTCAAGAGGCCATTCGAAACATATCGGATGTTAGACAGGCTATTGACGAACAAAAGGCAAAATATGCTGGTAGTACTAAGACACATCTTCAATAGGGTTGGTTATATATTATTTGATTAACTCTAGCTTTAGTGTTCGAGCTTCGAACAGTGAGCCAAATCTCCTCAGAAGCTTCGCAGAAAATCGAAATTATGGAACGGGACTTTGGGAAAGTGCAACAAGAACTAAATCAGATGAAAGTAAACGTTGAAATTTTAGAAGGTGTGCTATGACATAAAGTTTCTGATATAATGGCGGCTTGAAACGATATTTTTGCAGACTTAGGCAGCAGCGATAGCTCAACTTACCAAAGACTAGTATGGCGAATAACTGAAGTCGAATCTAAGTTACAGAAAGCGAAAGAGAGCGACATTGTTCTGAAAAGCCCTATTTTCTACACGCATCGCTATGGATATAAAATTAGGGTAAATGGTATTTCTGTAAAAAATTCGCATGAGCTCAAATTAATTTTAGATACTACTGTACATAAACGGACTGAACAAGTGGAAAGGCAGATACGCTTTGGCCTGCATACATGTGCTCAAAGGAAAATACGATCCCTTATTGGCATGGCCCTGTATAATTGAGGGCCAAATTTCCTTAAGAGACTTAACAGAAACTAGTCAGGTATTTTTACTAATCCTAGATCTACTGCCTTCGTGAGGTGATTAAGCTTTTATTTTAGAAGAAGGATTTTATAAAATTCATAAAGACAAAACGACCAAGTGGGGACGAGGATGAGGACGAACCGCAGGAATCTTCACCTACGTATATTTTTATACCCCACTCGGTCATGTTGAAAGCAAACTACACAAAAAATGATACACTTTTTTTGGATGTTAATATAAGCGAGAACCAGACACGACACGAGACAAGTTTGTAGTTAATAAAATTTTGTTCTTTTTTAGACAAAGTGATTTACCTAGACCGTGCGATAGAAGTTGTCCAACTTACAGTTGTTGTAGAGACTTCAAATTTTGTTTCCGCTGATAACGATTAGTGCCGAAACCAGTTGAAGAATATTTAGCCCTCTAGCTATACAAGGTGTACAGATTTTTACGGAACCAGCTAAATCTACGGAACGGTTCTAAATTCTAAAATAAAAACGGTTCCAAATTTGGTAGGTAGTTCCCCAAGCAAGCTCCCCAGCCTACAAAACATTGCAAAAAACAAAAAAATCAATTTTTTTAAATGGCACCTACTCACTTATTGGTCCTGTTTAGTTTAGTTTCTTATTGTTTAATCATAGCACAATTTTCAACGAGGATCAAAAAAGTATGTAGGTGCCATTTAGATAAAACTGATTTTTCGATCGTTTTCGTCTGAATGTTTGTACGCTGCATGCACCCATATCTTACAAAATTGGCGTCTTATGGGGAGTTAGCTGGGACTTCCAGCTAGCGATTTAGCAAATCTGGATTTACATTTAAAACCGTTAATTTTATTCTTGTTGTTGCTGAGGCTTGTTCCGTAAACACCTGTATTGGCAGTTTTTTCTTAAACAATTGACATATGTCCAAAACTTTAAGAGTTAGTTAACAAAACTAGGGTGGCTCAAACTGGCAATTGGAAGGCCCATACAACCATGTTAAAAAAATTACGGGTTTACATTTAAAATAAGAAAGTTATATTATACTATTCATACACCCTGTAAGGTAGACGACTAAATGGATTTTCCATGGCTTCGACACGACTCGTCCTGACCGGAACCAAAATTTAAAGTTTCAAAACAACTATAAGTTCTAGTTTTGGTTCAAAAGAAGACGATCGGGCCAAACTTTCATTAAGGAAAAGTGTTTGACTCCCCTGCTATTGATCTGAAAAAGTTATGGTTTTGTGCATTTCTTGAGAATATCGTTTTAAATAGATGATAACATAATGGCTTTAGTTAAAGTAATGTATTTAAAAAGTGGTATAAAAACAAAATAAAAAAACGTCCTAAGGTACAACACTCTCCCCTGAAACCGGCGATGTACGCATGAGTTCAAAGAAAACCTTCAGGTTCTGGATTGTTCAAAAATTTACCAGCTTTTGCGAGCCTGGTCTGTTTATCTTTGTCCTGTTTATATTTGTCGAGTTTTTGTTTGCAGCTCCATAGACTTGCTCAATAAAAAAAATGTTAATCATTCAGGCGAGTAGAACGATTAAGTGACGGAAGTGTGGAACGAAATGAATTCCCAGTTTCTTTGCGTGTATTGGAAGTCGTGGTCATATTTAATCGGGAATATATCGAATATCGAAATATTGGTATTTTGATGCTGAAAAGTAAGAGTGTGTTTGATGGGTTTATCTAAAGTGAACTTTTGGAGCAAGTGAATCACAGCCGATACGGAAATGGTTCAGGATGGAGCCCCAACATGCAGAAACCTGGTAAGATATATCTCTAATATGCAGGGTGTCTGAAAAAATGTAGGCATTTCTCCAAACACTTAGCTGGAACTGGCGGAGGTTTTTGGATAGCTAACATATATTTCAGGGCTTTTTTACATTCCAATTTCAATGGAGCTTGGGATTATTTCCTACACTAAACACCTTTTTTTGTTTCCAGGCTTGTTCGTTTGGTTTTACATTTTCCCTGGAAGATCGCTTTTAGATATTTTTGACATATATTTTGCTCTATTAGTGCATGTAATTAGTGCGATACTTCAATTTCTTGTTTTAATACGAATGAAACAGCAAATTTGTAAAACAAGTGTCGTTTTTGTGTGAATTACACTTTCTATTGTCTTGGACGGTAATTTGTTGCATTTATTGGTGTTTTCCTCTGTGAATTACATTTTAAATTAAACAGGTCTTGTATTCTCAATAGGGATTTGTTCCATTTACGAAAACAACATTTTTTACTCGGTTTTTCTACCTTTACAATTTAATTTATTACCACAGTTTCTTCTAAATTTTGATATCGATTTTTTTATTACGTGATATTTATTTTATATATGTATTTTAACTTGAACGATTCAATGCTCGATGTAGAACACCCGTAAATCCGGTTCCTCTTCCATCAGCAGCTTAGCCATAATAATAATCTAAACTTTGACTTCATTGACCGCTTTTTTCAGTGCACATTTTTCATTATGCCGATGTAAAAAAATTAGGCTTTTTAAATGGCACCAACAAAGTTTTTTGGTCCAGCTTGAAAATTTTGCTTTAGTTAAACAATAAGATACCAAACTAAAGGGACTAAAAAACAGAACTAAAACTAAACAGGACCAAAAAAATTAGTAGGGGCCATTTCAAAAGTTTGTGTGTGTTTTGAAAGTTTCGCGTGTTATTTTGTTTCATTAAATGTTGGGCTGCACTGATTTTTACATTTGTATTACATTTTATATTAAAATAACTTACTATTAACTAGTATATTAAAAGTCGTTCCGATTCTCAAATACAAAATTTTTCTTAGCTAACAAACTGCAAAAATTCTAATTAAAACATGAGTTAGGGTAAGGTGATCTCAATAGAAGGAAGCTGTTTTGCCAAAACCCGTTATTTATTTATTAGATTGTTCAATTTATATATTTTATTAGCCGCGGAACAAAATTTGCCACCCATCTGATCCCTTAAACACTCGAAACAAAGGCATCGAAAAATATGAATATATATGAAAAATATTAATAAAATGAAAAATTTATATACGAAAGATAAGTCATTTGACAAAAGTCTCATAAAAATACATACAATATCTTGACTATTTAGTTGGGTCTTTCTTTGTATTTTCAATGTGTAATGCCTATATATGTTATCGCATTACGTTTTTCAATACTTAGAAGAGCTGGTACACACACATGGAAGAGCTGATTTGTCCTTCAAATATCTAGATTTAAAAAATTTAATTTGTAACAGAAAGTTTAGTGTTGTACTTTAGGACGTTTTTTTATTTTGTTTTTCAACCCACTTTTTAAATACATTACTTTAACTAAAGCCATTATGTTATCATCTCTATTTAAAACGATATTCTCAAGAAATACACAAAACCATAACTTTTTTCGATCAATAGCAGGGGAGTCACACATTTTTCCTTAATAAAATTTTGGCCCGATCGTCTTCTTTTGAACCAGAACCAGAACTTATAGTTGTTTTGACACTTTAAATTTTGGTTCCGGTCAGGACGAGTCGTGTCGAAGCCATGAAAAATTTAGTCGTCTATCTTACAGGGTGTATGAATAGTATAATATAACTTTCAGCAAACGTTCAAATTTACTTCTTGAGAACAGTTAGATAAATATCTACCACCTTTGGGTAAGCTACAGCTTACCCAAATGTTGTCTGGGTTAGTTTCGGTTTGTCTGGGTTATTTGGATTCATTTGGGTTAGTTTTGCTCGCCTGGTGCAATTTATTGAACATAATGACTCGCACGGAGAGGAGTGTATCATTGTTTACATAATGAGATAATAAAGTAAACAAACGAGTTGCTTGACCAAGGGGATTTTTAGGTGCGACATTTCAGTTTCACAGTTTGGACGGTGACTGATTGTATATGAAACAAAGTGCGTTATTTTCCCCTGGGAATATTTTATGAAATAGTCAACACCAAGCTTGGCTTATGAGCATTTTCATAATTGAACTTTCTGTTGTTTAGACTCGAAAATATTGAAAACGATTGCTCAAATCACCTCTTACGTATATCTTGTGTTAAAGTACTACACGTATTGCAGTTAACTTGTTTGTTCTATTGCACATAAAAGTAGATTTCAAGAAGCTATTTAAAATGTAAAATTCAAATTGAAGTTTTAAACCATTTTGCTCTGCATCTCACAAATTATTCACTTTTGCACTGAGTTAAGTTGATTGCGATCATCATATTTGAACAGAAGGAAGAATTTGTCTAAAATTTATTTACAACCTTTCGGAAACACGATGTATATTCAGTGTATTCCAGATTTGGTTTGATGGCATTTAAAATAAATGTTTCGAGTTTAAAAAATCCGTATCGCAACATTAATTGGTTTGGTGTAACTGATAATGCTATATTTAGCCATTTAACTTATTAATAGAATCTTTTACGAGAGTGATTGGATTGTTATAGTTAATGTACTTGAATTTGTTTTGCAATTATACATTATTTCTTGTCTGGTCATTTTGAATAGTAGTGATTTGTCTTTGTTCGTTGTTTGCTACTTACACACGCTAACCTTAATTATTTGCCTTTTGTGCTTATCATATTTAATGCATTTTTCCTTCAATGCATTAATGGATCAAGTTCAAGAATTGATGATTAAAATTTTTGTCCGTTATTATACAATATTCATTTTACATTTTTTTTCTAAAGTCTATGGAATAGACAAATCCTGAAAAGTATGGATACAGATGAATATTATTAGTAGCTTTCAAGAATTCTCATGAGCTGCTGTCGACACTGTTTTTCCTTCTTCTTTACTTTCGATCGGACCAAATTCTAAATGGAAATTTGCTTGTATGCAGTTATTAATTTGAGTGGCAGGAACAGTTTTATCTAAAGAATTGGGTTCTAAATCCAACTAAATCAAACTCGTTTTAAAAATATAGATATGTATATAATTCCAGAAATGTACACATTTAGACCATTATGTCTGGCTGGAAATAACGTTTTCGCCTATACACTCCTACATGTATATAATAATTATTTAATTCAAATATAATTTTCAATGTCTACTTTTTTTATATCAAACAGAACATTACCCTTCGGTTCAATAGCAACTGGACTAGCTTCATATTGTATATCTTTGGGTGTTTTTGAGTTGAGCTCGTATTTGAAATGCTTCAAATACTTCACCATTGCAAGTTTCATTTGTATCAGAGCAAACCGCATACCTAAAATAAATAGTCAGACTAAAGTAATAATGAGTGTGACCCTAACAAATAAATTTATAAACTTTATGACAAAATATGTAATGAAAATAACCTGAATATTAGAGAGTCGATTTTAAACAAAACTTCACTTTACTTCATGTAAAAACTATTTATGTTCTATTTTTTTAATTGATTCCATGCTGAAGCATATACACTTTCTTCGAAAACTTGATGCCATCAAAAGTCAGCCGGATAAGAATAAAATACCGATGTAGGTTCAATTTTTTAAACAGAAACACCACAGCGGATGACACCTTCTGGATCAGAAATCTTTCTCAGAACCCCATTCTTTCTTAGCCAATTTAATATGGTTTTGCAAAAAGTTCAATCAGTACAACTACTTCATAAACCCCACACGATTGAAACATTTCCAAATACGACTCTAATGTTTCGAGCTGACACTCACCAATACATGATCGAATTCCTTCTCCAAATGGGAAAAACGGAGCATTTTTCCTGTCAGCTTTTTTTTCCTCGCCGAAGTTTTCAGGATTAAATTCCTTGGGATTCTCATAGTAATCCGGATCATTGTGAAGAGCCCAAATAGGAATCAGCACGAAAGTTCCTTTTTGAATGGTAACATTGGTTCCAGGTACTTGGTAGTCAGTTGTGCACATTCTACGCACTTCCGTGACCGAAGTATGAATTCGAAGTGTTTCTGAAACCAATTGCTCGATTTTGGGTGGGTTTTTGCTATTTATTAACAATTTACCGTTTATTATCATGTCACAGTACTTTAAGTTGTGCAGATCCTCATAGGTTACTTTATATTCCGGGTCGTATTTGCAAACTTCCCAGATTTCTCTGCGTGCTTTTTCTTGAATTTCGGGGTGGCGAGCCATTTCGTACATCAGAAATGACATATTTGAAGATACAGTTCCAGAACCTAAAATGTTTGGTAGAAATTCGAATATGCAGTAATAGCGAAATTTTTAATGAATTAAATTACGTGCCATCGGCGACTTATCTTGTAAAGTACTTATGTTCAACCTATCAACTTTTAGTGCTTGTTTGATCTATGTGAGCAAAAGAAAATGTTCGTAAGACTTTTAGATTCATCGCTAATCGTTTTATTTGTCTGAACACGGAATTGAAATGTATTTTTAAATCGTCTGGCAAAGTGAATCGTTCGGAGAAGTTGCTGCTTTGTGTAGCCAGCGCAGCGAGATAACTCTTAAGCAAAAATGTCAAAGTGATTCAACTGAAAATATTTTGAAAACCTGCAGGAAAATTTGCAGTTTTAACATGTTTTCTTGCATATACATTAGAGCCACTTGAAGCCAAATAATATTAGTTCTTTACCCCCAGAAGGTCTAGATTGTCTGAGTAATTTTAACTTTTCTAAAATTTTAACTGATTAGGCAAAATTATCTTAAATATATTTAATAAAAAGCTTCTCTTTTTTGGTATGAAAATAATAAAATTTATTTAAAACTCCTACCAAATCTCTTGAAGCTCTATATTTTGAGGAATTTATCAATTTGGAGTGTTTATCATGAAACATTATCACATTTCTTGAGAGAAAATTGTAATTTACAATTTAAAAAAAATTCTTATGAAAAACAAGCTGATGTTCTTCTGTATAGTACACAATAATTTTGGTTAATTTGAACATTTTTACGAATCAAGTTTTTCAATGGTCATCGATTCAAAAATTAAATTTAATTATGAATTGGTATGCGATAGGGCACGAATTAAATATAACGTATAGTTTTTTAATCAGAAATATTAAAAGCCAATACACCAGTCAATAAATTTGAGAGCAAAATCTAGAGATAGTTTGGAGAGCTTTTCAGATTCTGGTCTCCAAGTCTATAAATCGAATAAAACAATCACAGTGTTTCTTCGAAATCAAGCTAAATTTCAAAATTTGGAAAGTTGACTGCTTGAAGTTTCAGATTTTGATCAAAATGGAACACTGGAAATTAAACTTTAACAAAAATAAAACTGTTTGTAAATAAGGTTTGAAAAAACAATCATTTGAATTTAATTAGCGCAAAGCGATAAAAAAACCTGTGATTAATTTAAGGACGTACCTGCACCATACAACAAAAAGCTGTTGGAAATAACCTCATCACGGGCAAGAACGTTTTTTTCATTACCATCCGCTGTGTTTTCCTTCTGTCGCAAATTCAGCATCAGTTGCAAGAAATCTTGCCTGAAAAATTATCATAGTTGTTAAACCCATTAGCAAACACAAAGAAAAAGATTGATCTTAATTTATTGCGTATGTAATTAAAAGTGGATTTAATTATGGAAAAAATATTGATTCAATAAAGTCATACTCGACGTAAGTAAAAGTGCAGATAATAAAGCTAAGTTAGAACGACTTATAAAACTACTAGAGATAAAAGAACACGTGTAAGCGTGTAGATCACGGGTCACAAATAACTTCTAAAGTTTGTTTAAAAGCGTAGATTAACAGAAAAATGTCACTGAACTAACCGCTATACTCTAATCTTAAAGACTTTGTAGTCCACAGATTTAAAATGCACAAAAATTACAATTTAAAAATGCGGTATAGAAGTGCAAATAAATTACCTCGTTACATTGTTTTTGTCTCGATAATTGATCATATCTGAAATAAGCTTAACGAAAAAATTATCGGCGTCTTTTCCTAATCCAGAATATCCAAGGAAATTTAATACGTCCCAATTCACGAATTGTTCCAATAGTCTTGACAGGAAATTAGGTGTAAATAATTTTCGACTATGCTGCCTCAGCTCGTTATTGGGGTTGTCCAGGGAGTTACTGTCGATTCCAAAAGCGCAACTTGCAATAACGTCAATGCTAAAGCAGGCCTGCACTTCTTTAATACTTAGCGGTTGATTCCTCTTGCACAAGTCCATAACTAAATTCAATCATTTCGATCTTAGATTAGAAAGTTACTCTTTTTTTATTATTACCTATGCTTTCTGCTTGGTCTCCCACCCTATCAATGATATGAAACATGTTTTTCACCTTTCCACTGGAAAACGCTGGCGACAGTTTGGCCCGCAAACTTTTCCAGCCTGCGCCTTCGGAAAAGGCCAAATGATTGGTGAGAATGTCGTTTTTATGGTGGTAGAAGTTGCCGCGTCCAGCAAAATTCCAATAGTCCTTTTGAAGCAATTGTTTGATCAGAGCGGTGTCCAGAGGAATCCATATAGGGGTATACGCAAAATAAATTCCTCCTAAGAATGTAAATTATTGGATGAGCTAAATTCGAGATAAGTAACACATAGCATAATTATGTTGAAACAGACCGAGCCTTACATTGAAAACGCGCTAATATTTTTTATTTCACTTACCAAACTTGGCTCCAATACTTTTGAACTCGTAATATGCCTTGACAATAACTTCACTCGGCAGCATTTTTCCCAAAGAGGCTTTTTTAAAATTTCCAAAGAAAAACTCTGGTTCCATGTATGGCACGCCTCTTCGCGACCAGTAGGAATGTTTCCATTTTAAGTAAAAACTAGCCCCAATAACCAGAGCCAGTAACAGCGATATAATTGCTAACATGTTGGCTACAGTTACTGACCGCAATTGACTGCTAGTAAAATTGATGCTTTTCTATATAGGTACGGTATCCCCGCGCATCCCACCTACTTGTTTTCAATATGAAGCAATCTGAAATTTTCAAGTCTTGTTCTCGAGCATAACTTAAAGAGATAAGAAAACTACGGACAATCCAACTTATCTATTTAACTATAACTATAACCAAACGGTCTTCCAATAAGGGCGACGGTTTTGAATTGCGAGTCTTTTTTAATCTCATGATTTGACTAAAAAAAGGTCGTTTGTTAGTAGACAGCAGGAGTTTAAGTAGTATGGAGGGGTTCAATACACAACAAGGAATTATCATGGTGAAAAATTATTATCAAAGTGGTGGAAGTTTTTCAGCCACAGTTCGCAAAATGTGTACAATTATGGCCCATCGGAATGCTCCAACTGAAGCCACAGTTCGCATAAAAATCAGCAAACTGGGTGTGTAAATGAAGTGAAAACAGAAACACGCGTTGGTCTGGTCACTAGACTGAAAATATCGCAGCAGTGCGTGCAAATGTTGAGGAAAGCCCAACCACATCAATTCGGCATAGAGCGCTAGAAATTGGTGTTTCCACAACCACTCTGCATAGAATTTTAACAGTTTTAATTTTGAAGCTCAGTGCTGAAGCTGAAGTGTTCAAAGTTGAATTGGCTCAAGAGCTAAAGCCGAAAGACGATCGGCAAAGAATTTAATTTTTGAACAACGACAATTGGACGGTGATTTTTCAACGAAAATCATCTTTAGCGACGAGGTCCATTTTCATCTTGATGGCTTCGTTAATCGACAAAATTGTCGCATTTGGGGTTCCGAAAACCCACGAGTGATCGTTCAGAAACAGATGCATCCAAAAAAAGTCACTGTTTGGTGTGCATTGTGGGCTGGAGGCATCATCGGACCACTTTTCTTCGAAAATGCAGTTCGTCAAGCATTAACCGTGAATGGTAGTGTTCGTTATCGTGAAATGTTAACTTACTTTTTTGTGTAAAAATTTCAAAATATGGGTCTGAACAGCATGTGTTTTCAACAGGACGGTGCAACATGCCATACAGCCAGAGAAAGTGCTTAATTACTGCACGAGTCATTTCCTGGTCGTGTTATTTTTCGTTTTGGAGATCGGCATGGGCCGCCCAGATCATGCGATTTAACGCCTTTGGACTTTTTTCTCTGGGGTTTTTTAAACTCACAACTTTATGTGAATAAACCAACAACGAATGAAGCTTTAAAGATGACATTCAACGATGTATCTCTAAAATACCGCAAAATTTATGCGCAACAGTCTTTGAAAATTTCGTGAAAAGAGCACACGTCTGTGCCAATAAAGCCGAGGAGGTCATTTGTCCGATGTCTTTCCATTTCCTTCATAACTTCGTGATGTGTACCTACTTCATTTTTCAATAAGTGTTGCAAACTTATGCCACAAATACAGTTTGAATTTTTTTCGATGACTAGTACAGGGATCTTCGGAACTATAGTAGTTCCTCTATTATCTAGTATAGCTCTCGAGTAATGCTCTATTCGAAACCAATTTAATTTTTCTAAAATTTGACAGCTGTCAAGAGAAGTTTGGAAAAAACTTATTTACGGTGAATTTTTAAATTACTCCTAGTTCCGTTGATATTAATTTGACAGGAAAATATGAAATAGAAAATTTGTAAAAAATTGAATTCCAAACAAAATAGCGTAAGACAGTTCTCTAAAATAACTGTAATTTTTGACATATGACACAGAGTTAAGTTTTTTCAAACGGCAACTATACTTGATTATCGCTTTACCAACTACGTTAAAGTTGTCAAAAACTTTATTTTAATTAAGACGGCTGCGCATTGAACGTATTTATTATCAAAATCAAATCATACCAATAATAATTAAAATTTAACTCTAGAAACTTTAATTTTTATTGCAAAACATTTTCAAAAAGTCCATCATTATTTTCAATGCAAACATTGCAATGCTTTAAAACTGAATAAGTTGATTTCTTGCGGACCCACCTTCTATATTTTCAAATGCTCTAACGACAGCTTCTTTAATTGAATTTCAATTGGATATTTGTTTTTGTAAACTGCGGTGATCGAGGTGGCCATAAAATAGAACCATTTCGTCCAATCCAAGCCAAATGGTAGGTCCAGGTGATTGCGCACTTGTTTCATGTTTCCAAATCTAAGTCGTCCAACATAAAATACAGATTATTCCGAAGAAATTTAAGATACCGACTCTCATTTAAAGTGCCTTCAAAAATAAATGGTCCAAGAATTTTTGAACCTACCATTCCGCTCCAAACGTTAAACCCAAATGTAATTTATGGTCTCATTTGCTCAACTTGGAGGGAATTTGTTTGACTCCAAAGATGTTCATTGTGTGGATTAAACATTCCACAATTTGTAAATCAAGTTTCATCGGTCCACAATATTTTATAAGGAAATTGGATGTCTTGGTGGCATTTGTTTCGGAACCATGTACAAAAATTCACTCGCAGCTCTTCCTTTCTATCCTCTGAGATGTAAAGTTTGAGATACTGATAATTTATACGGATGGAATTTGTGTTTTTTTTAACTATCATCACGGTGATTTGCGAAGTCCCGCGATGCCCCTGCTGCGATCTGGCTGAAATCTGTGGATTCTGGCTGTGGACAAACACTGTAATAAAAGATGTGAGGAAATTCTGTCTTTTCTTAAAGACAAAAATTTTTGAGGCGAAATACCCAAAAAGAAGTTTGTAAAAAAATGAATCCGCTTCAACAATATAGAACTTATCTACAACTTAGATTTCTCAGTTGAATATAAACTTGAATGTCAAAAATTGAAATTTGTTCTTATTATTTGTTGCTATGGAAACAATGTTATGTCTTATAATATTTTCCATGACTAACTTAGATCAACAAAATTGAAAAGGTACAAATTGTTCACAGACACTTAATTTTCGTAAAAATCCTAACAATGTGATATACCACAGAAATTGTAATAAAATGCTCTATTCGGTAAAGCAATAATCAAGAATGGTTGCCATTTCAAAAAACTCAAATTTGTGTCATATGTCAAAAATGACAGTTATTTTGGAAAAATGTGTTGTGCCATTTTGTTTGGAATTAAATTTCCTACAGGTTTTCTAATTAATATTTTCTTGTCAGATTAATAATGACGGAACTAGGAGTAATTTAGAAATTTACCATAAATATTTTTTTTTCCAAATATCTCTTGACATGCTGTCAAATTTTAGAAAACTAAAATTGGTTTCAAGTTTAGCATTCAAAGCTGCAATTCTTAAATTTGTCCTTTTAACCTTTTCCGTAACTGCTATAGTTTCGAAGATTCCTGTACTGGTCATCGAAAAAAACTCACCCTGTTCGCATTTTTCACTCTTTCTGTAGCAAGCGTTACTGTCTCAGAATTTTCTATCACACCTACCTTTTCTTCTGAACGACTGTAACCAGAAGCTGTTGCCGCACTGAATAGCAAACATTCCACTACTCTACCAAGAAGAGTTTCCTGCTGCAGTAAAATGGCTTTTCAATTTGGCTTCATATTTTTTGGCCTACACCCAAGTCTGATTTTCTCAATGTTCAGCACACTTTCTGAATTGAAACCCAAAGTGTTTGCTCCTAGACATGCTTTTAACAAAAATGTATTTTCCTCATCGCCAGAAAAATGTTTGGCAAATATTGAAAAAAATCAACAAACTTAGGCAAAATCTACCAAACTAAGTTAAACAGTCAAAATCTTATTTTAAACAGTCTCCTTTACGTTAAGTCGTTAAGTTTATGTTTCGAACTTTATATTGCATTTTTTGGTTCCAAACAAAAAAAAGGATATTTAAAACAAATGTTTCAAATAGTATTCTAAACAGTCTTCTTTACGATAAATCATCTTTGGAAATTTATATCCCATTTTTTGCTCCAAAAATACGCGAAAAAACAAGCACAAAGTTGTGGGAAATAACTCTTAATTCTGAGGTATCGAACAAACTTTGAACATGAAAGGATCTTAATCCCGAACTTTCAAACTTTTCAAACAACTTTGAAATGTAAAACGATTCACATCCAGTCCTTCTATGAAATATACATTCTCGTTTCTTTTGTTTATTTACGCATGAAACAACATAGATTTACGTAGAGTTAAGTGAGAAAAATGCATTTTGTTGGTGGGAATTTGAGCATTGTGGCCAAATTTAGTAATTATTGAAAGTTCTTTTCGTACAATTCCAGAGTTTATAGTTAGAACATATATTTTCTTCCTTACTTTAGTAGTAAGCTGATTAAAATGTATGCCGTACTAAATACTTGCAAATGAATGCAAGTCAAATCTCTAAAGTAGGTATCATTTTTGTACATTGAATACTTCTCGCTAGCCATATGCAATGTAAAATTCGACAATACGAGATTCATCCTCTCCAGATAAAACTCTTGAGAACTTGTTTTCATTCTTTAAGTTCATTGAAGACTTTTTGAAGTGATTAGTGAAGTATTTTTCTAAGCCCAATGCACTAATAATTATAGCTTTAAAAGTGAATCAGCGGCGCACACTTTATTTATATTTCTATCTCAAACTGGCCCTTGTTGCAAAATGTTCATGCTTGGTGCTAAGCGCTCTAAGCACATTTAAGCAGAATAAGGTTTTAAATTTGCTTAAAATTCAATTGGCCCAGTAACTCTGGATAGATTAATATTGTTATGAATATCCAAGCACAAAAAACAAAATTGATTATTCTCAAATAATGTATATATTTGTACATTTTTACAGTTCTTTTACATATTACCTAATGATTATTTACGCTAGTCATTCTCACATGTCTTTAATTACAACAGTTTGCTACACACAACAATTTGTTGGATTTTGGTTAACAATTCAATTTGAATAATAAACACAATACTCCCTTCCTAGAAAAACCTAATTTACAAAATATTACACGTATTTACATGGCTTGAAGAGACAATAATTTAGACAGACATTATAATTACAAATAAATAATTGCGTTTGAAAGTTTATGGCTTAAAATGGCAATTAAACGTACATCTAGTGAGCATCATTTACGATTCGACGGTCTTCTCTTATATAACACAAAATATATACACAGTGATCAATTATTATTAAAAGTCTTTCAGTCTAAAATAGCTCTTGTAACACAGCCCAAACGTATATGAAAAGCTAAATTATAATCTTAATTCGGTGTCGACTACGGATTTATTTCTATTTTGAGCGGCCTGCCGAGACATCACGTGGTGCGCAGTTGATAAACCAGGAGCTACAAGTGGAGATATTGATGGCGACTTAGTGGCTAATGGTGAAAGAGATGGGGAAAAACTGGGCGACATCGCTGTGGAAGTGCTAAACCCAGTTCCAGATGCATCATGATTAATGGGCGATCTGGGCAACATCATCATTTGGTTATGGCCCAGCTGGCCGTGATGAGTTTGCCCCCCACGAGCACTTAAAATAGGCATAGCAATTGCCCTTGGGGCAACACTGGTAATCAACGGAGGAGGAATACTTTTTACTGGAGCTACGGACACTTTACTCCTAACACTCGAAGTTCCACTAGCTCCGCTGTGGACCGAAGCAGTGTCATCTTTCAGTCTTGCAATCTCTGAGAACACATGAGCTAGAGGTTGGTACTGTGGACCCCAGTCTAATAAATAGTCCCAGTTGTAGCTTCCAGCTAGCTCTTCTTCGCTGTGTACTATTGAGCTCAATGATCCATTCATGGACGGTTGATGAGACACTGTGGGTACCTCTCCATAACCGATTGCCATCACGTGCTCCATGGTAGCCCCTAAAGAAGCTGCAGTTACGCCTGCGCCCTCATCTGCGGAACTTGCTCTATCGCTACCTGCCACATCATTCAATTTGGCGTAAATTAAATTTGTTATATCATTATCGTTTGCGGCCTCCTCATCAAATATGTGCAAACTATCCAATGGCACTGTTTGGTGATGGTGCAGAGATTCTTTACTACTCCCAGCTCTAGGATCAGTGCAAAGTCTCCCAACGCTTTGAGCCTGAGCGCCGGAATTATCCACAATACCCAGCCGAGCTAAGTATTCCTGAGTGTTTCTAACAGACACTGCCGATAAAGAATCGCCATCATTGGACCTTTGCAGTGGGCCTTCATTGATCATCCTAATTTCCTCATCTTCCCCGTCCTCGCCATCTTCTGCAGACCCCCTGCCACTTGATCCCGATTGTTCTGAAGCAGATAATTCCGAAGTCGTAGCTGCTCCAGAATTGGAGCTTGCCGCATGAGCGCCACCATAAGGCGGGATTTCATCGTACTTTGGAGGAGCGAACTGATTCTGAACTGGCGGCATCTGAGCTCCACCTCTTATTGGAATGGTATCAAAAGCGCTCGGATCCACATAGTTGTTCGACGTGGAAACAGTATCTGTACTCAAACTAGGTTTGTTGAGCTTGCGATTTCGCTTGTTTCTCATGTGCAAAAAGACAAACACTGCTCCAAATATGATTAGGAGGAGCACAATGGAAATAACAAGCCCAAGCGCCCAATCAGATATGCCTCCTCTTGGGGCGGGCAGGGTTCCTTGGTTGATGGCCAAATTAGTGCTTGGGTCCGCTAGAGGATCTAGAACTATTTCTATTACAGTCATATTGGATAAGGAAGCCTGCCGGCCTGAACTAGCTGTGACCACCAAACTAATTTCCCTGCCCGAAGTCAAAATATCTGATTGGTCAAACTTGCGTTTCAAAAGAACAGCCCCAGTTGTCCTATTTATCTTAAAGTAGGAATGTTGAGTGGTTAATTGGTAAACCACTCTACCGTCAGGGCCTTTATCTTTATCAGTAGCCACCACATGTCCAACTATATAACCCACCGGCAAAACTACTGAAGTTGCCAAAGGGAATTTATAGGTCCTTTCAGTGAATTGCGGGTAAAACTCATCTTTTCCCTCGACTTCCACATACACTTTCACTGTGGATGACTTTCCTCCTGAATCTGTAGCCTTGATAGCGAAATTGTATCTGTTTCTTTGCTCGTAGTCAAACACAGCTCCTGTAGTCACCAGGCCAGTTTCTGCATCTATATGGAACATTTTCCAGGAGTTTTCTTGCCCACCGTAAGCATGCGAGTCCACAAAAGAGTAGTTCACTTTTCCAAACATACCCTTGTCTAAGTCGGTAGCATGGGCGGTAAATACAATGGTGCCTATTGGTTCATTTTCTCCCACAGACTCCATGTATTCGGAAAAGGGGAAGATTGGAATATTATCATTTTCGTCCTGAAGTGCGATTTTGAAGGAACATAATGAACACAGAGACTTTGCGCCGTTATCGCAGGCCTTGATGACTAAGTTATACGTTGTAACTCCTTGGTCGAAGTCGAGCGAATTATTCACGAAAATAACGCCAGTCTTTGGATCGATTTGGAAGCTTCCATCATGGTTTCCGGACGATATTTCATAGGTGATATCTGCATTAGGACTGCCAGCTAAATCAGCATCGGTGGCTACCACTTTGTCCACAGAAGTCCCGATAGGAAGCGTTTCACTGATGGACTTCTCGTAATCCGTATCCGAAAATACTGGAACGTTATCATTAAAATCTTCCACAGCAATAACAACGTGTGTAACCAGCGAATTTCCACCATCAATTGAAACAGTCACAACATATTCATCTTGTAGCTCCCGATCAAGAGGTTTAACCAACGTGAGCGCACCCGAAGGATTTGATATTTGAAACAGTCGATCAATGTTCCCTTCCAAAATACTGAAACTGGACACTTGACTTTGGCTGCTTGGTTTAGCCAGATGGATGATAGTACTTCCCGTTTTGGTATTTTCAGGAACAGTGATTTTGTATTCTTTCTTGTAACCGTAGCTGGTTTCCATTCTTTTGCTGTTCTTTACTCGAACCGTGACTAAGGAATGGAGTGCTGGCCTGCCAGAATCTTCCGCCTTTACTGTGAGATAGACATCTTGGACGTTCGAGGATATGTTGGAGGTGTTCACTTTGATGATTCCCTCAGAAGCTTCAATTATATAACCAGCCGTCGGATTCACTATGGAGTAGGTGAGTTCAGAATTTTTCCCTGAGTCAGCATCAGAAGCATTTAGCACGATGATATCTGCTAGTGTTGACGAAATGGTATCTGAAACAAGTGTTGTTTTGAGAATTATGAAGTCTGGAACTGCGGCTTTTTCCTGCTAATTATGTATTGAAATCAGAAATTTACGATAGTGTTTCTTTGGGTACAGAATAAGTTTAAGGTTCAAGACTTGTGTTCAAAACTTGTTGGTTAAATGGCATTTTGACATTTTTGTTTGAAGGAGTCAATTTGCGCAAAACTAAAAAAATCGAGCACTTTCTTTCGGTCACTTTAAACGTATATTGTTTATCACAAGACCAAGTATTTCCAGACACAGCATGCCAGCATATTTTTGATAACAAAAGTTTATTTACACTTATTGATAACAAAGGATCAGAAACTTAGATAAGAATAAAAGGAAATCTATAAGTGGCTGTTCCACTATACTATCCAATTAGCTAACTAGATAATGACTTACCAGGTAAATTGGCTTCATAGGAGCTTTGACTAAATATTGGATAATTATCGTTAACATCCACGACTTCAATGGTTAAAAGTGTCTCGGCAATATGGGCAGTATCCGATGCGATCAACTTCAACGTACAATCTTGCCAAACTTCAAAATCCAAGTTTTTCTTCAAAAATATCTTGCCACTGTATCTATCAATGCTAAAGTATTCCAAGTATTCTTTGTCGACGTTGTTAGCAAAATTATAAGTGAGTTCAGGAAAAGTGTCCACATCATTGGCAGTTAGTGTCGTTATGAGGGTTCCACGTTCGGCATTTTCATTTACTTTAATCGTACGCGGAGGTGGAAAAGTGGGTTGATTATCATTTACGTCCACTACGTTGATACGAACACGTGCTGTTCCTGTCATTTGTGGGATTCCTTCGTCGGTAGCTGGAAAAAATTCAGAATGTAATTGTATGAGCTTCAAAAATAAACCTCGAACATGTTTCCTCAGTCGATCTCGCACTCCCTCATTCAGGCGCTCATTTTGTCTCACCCCATACAGATAAACCCACACCTTTCCGTACAATACAATAAATAGCTTACCGATTATTGTAAGTCTGTAGTTATCACGTATTTCCCGGTCCAGAACTGTGTTAGTTCTCACAATGCCACTGAAAGCTGGTTCGATTTTGAAAGCATTATCATGATTTCCGTCTACAATGTGATACAAAATCCTCGAATTTGGACCATCATCCGCATCAAACGCCACTACTTGCAGTACAAAAGTCCCTGGAAAATATGTTAATAAAAAACTGGATCAAAGCATTTGCTTAGATGTTTCACCTTTTTTATCGCCCTCCCATACAGATGCAGTATATTGCTGTTGGGTGAACTTCGGTGCATTATCGTTTTCATCAGACAGTCTTATTAACACCTCGCAATAACCATGCAAGTTTGGGGTTCCTTCCGTTTTGGCTTCCACAACCAATTCGACCACGTGATGAAGCTCAAAGTCCAGATTCTTCGGATCGCGCACTTGAATTATTCCGCTTTCTGCCTCAATACTGAATATGTTGTCCTCATTTCCCATGCCAAACGTGTACTGGATTTTCTGGCGTCTACCATCAGTTCGCACCGCGCTGACTTGCACGATACTTCGACGTTGACCAATGTTTTCTGGAATGTTCGCTTCATACGTAGCGTTTTGAAAGCGAAGACTTAACGATCCTTGTGGCAAATCGCCCACGATTAGCTCGATCAATCCTGTGGAACTTTTGGGTGGATTTCCTTTGTCCGTTGCCACCACATTGAGGTAGATTACTTTTCCAGTACTACTCGTTAGTGACTGGGTTGCTGTCAGCACCCCTGAGTTGGGATCGATGCGGAATTTTCCAAAATTTCCTTCATTCACCAGACTGTAAACTATCTCAGCATTGGTTCCTTCGTCGATATCCTTTGTAGTCACCCTCAGGATATTCTGGCCTGGCTGAATATACGATGGAATTTTTTCTTGAAATGGATATCGCGTGAAAATCGGCTTGTTATCGTTCACGTCTTTGATGAAGACCGTTACGGGCACTTTGGTGGATCGCGCATTGTATTTACCACTATCAGTCGCCACCACCATGAAGTTGTATTCCGACTTGCGCTCCCGATCAAACAGGCTGAAAAAGAAAATGTAAAATTAATAACTAGCTAAAACCACTGATGTTAAGCTGAAGATTCCACTAAAAGTGGAACTGATGAGGAAATTTTGTTGAATATTCTTTAAACGACTTAAAGTGTGAAAGAATAGTTCTTGGAGAGAATGATAATATTTCACTCACCCAGCAGTTGTTATAACTCCGGTTTTATTATCAATGCGAAACAACCACTGACTCTCATTGGCCAGAAAGTAGATGATTTTCGCGTTGAGGCCAACATCTGCATCAGAAGCATGCACTTTCATTATGGAAGTATCAATGGGAACATCCTCCAACATGCTTGTCGAGTACTTTGATAAGTCGAACTTTGGGTCGTTATCATTTTGGTCCTCCACAAACACTGTCAGGTTGCAGTATCCCTGCATTGAGGGCGATCCATGATCTTGAGCAGTGATCGTTAGATAGTATCTCGCGTTGCTTTCTCTATCCAATGATTTAGCTGTTAGAGCGCCTGTTTTGGAGTCGATGCTGAATTTGTTCCTGATATTGCCGCTGGTTATTGAGTAGCTGACGTCCCCGTTAGGGCCGCTGTCCATATCATTGGCCACCACTGTGTGAAAAACTGCGGCCTCGCTGTTTTCTGGAATAGCAAGCCTTTGGCAAGATCCAGGCTGGAATCTAGGGGCATGATCATTGATGTCCAACACTCTAATATGCAGAAGTGTTTTGTCGAACATCGGCATATCCTGAGATGTATCAGTGACGAAGATTGATAATAAGTAGCTTTCCAGGATCTCCCGATCCAAGGGCTTGCGTGTTAGGACTTTTCCTGATGGGGACTGTATTTCGAATGTGTCGTCTGCTATGCCGGGTGAAATGAAAAATGACACATTTCCTCCTGAAAACATCAATACGTACTCTCAGATTATTTTCATAAATTTAGTTTTGTGTAGGTCTTTGAATATTAATATTGCTCAGAAAGGAATGAGCACTTTTTAAGTGAAAATTATTTTGCACGGCTTGGGATTGAAGAGTGCGACACCTTGTGAATCACAGATAGATAGATTAGATAATCGCTTTTTTCCACAAATTTTAAAAAAGTCGTTAAAAACAGACACAATTAGAAATTTTTTTTTTTTTAGAAAATACTTTCAGTTTACAATGAGAACTTCCAACCTTCTTTTAAAAAGTTTTGGCCGGAGCTTGAGCCAAATAATTGCTAAAATGTTTTTCAAATAGAAGCAACTAAACCAAACGGTGTAAAGCTACCTGAGCCATTAATTACTCTATTAAAAATCACAACTTTTTTTTAACTTGAGCAATGTGCGGCTGAAGAATAGGAAGCACTTAAAGCCACCCACAGAAAAATCTTTTTAACTTTAAATGTTTTAAAATCTTCTACGCTTGTATAAATAATTATTGAAATTCTTCATATAAGGCATATCTGCTAAAAACCCACCACATCCAGAAAAAGCATCTTACCTAATTCCCCAAGTCCTCTGATATTGAGTTGTGTAACTAAAGTGCCAACTCCAGCGTTTTCCATCACGGTTGCCTCATACTCAGATTCTAGTAGCTTCTGGAAACTGTTCTTCGAGTCCTGGACTAACAGCGTCAGCTTCATGCTGGCCTGCCGGGTTGGTTTTCCATGATCAGTTGCTGTTACATTCAGCATGTAGGTTTTTCGGTTGGCTATCAGTGGTTTGGCCAGTGTTAAAACACCAGTATCATATCCAAGGGAAAAATATGAAGCATCATTGCTGTTAGAAAGAATGTAGGTGACACGCCCGTTGTCTCCGGAGTCATCGTCTACTGCGAGAATGTTGGCAATTTTCATGCCTACAATGGCATTATCATTGATAAAAGCCATGGACGATTGCGGTAGAATGAACCGCGGAGTGTTGTCGTTGAAGTCCGTTATAATAATGCGAACTGTTAGAAAGCTGCTGAGTTTTGCTGATGCGTTAAATGGATTATCACTGGCTCTGATCACTAGTAGATGTTCCTTGGTTGCTTCATAGTCCAAAGGACCAGTTAGAGTCAAGGTTCCTGTTAAGGAATCTAGACTGAAAGTGAAGTTTGGATACTGACTAGTCAAGGAATAGCGGATTTCGCCATTCTCAGCACTGTCCAAGTCCGAAGCAGTAAAATTGAAGATGGAGGAACCAACTGGAGTGTTCTCACTCACTGAGATAGTTACTGGGTCTTTTGGCCATTGTGGCGCATTATCGTTGGCATCAGTTACCTCAATTGTAACACTGATGGCGCTACTTTGAGGATTGTTCAATGCTCGGATATCCAGAGCCCGAATTTCCAATTTATACTCAGAATACTTTTCTCGGTCTAGTTCTTGCGCTACCACAATTTTCCCAGTGCTTCGCTCAATTTCAAAGGCATTAGTGGGCGAGTCTACCGACTTTGCTGTCAGAGTATAGGTGATATGGCTCCCTGTGCTATCAGGCACAATATTTTCGTCATCGTCTGCCGAAGTAGAAGCCACTGTTCCAATTATCTGAAAAATCAACAGAACATTAAAACATCAGTTTGGGTGTCTCCAAACAATGCTACTCACTTGTCCAACTTTTGCGTCCTCTCGAACACTGAACTTCAAGCTGGAGCTTGTGAAAGTGGGTCGATTGTCATTCAGGTCCAAAACCTCTACCCTCAGCATACGAACGCTTTGCTTCGGAGGATTTCCTCCATCGGTTGCCACCACTCCAATCCGATATATAGTTTTCTCTTCATGGTCCAGCATCACTTTAGTTCGTATTACCCCGATAATCGGATGAATGCTGAACGTATCCAGACCATCAGAGTCTTTCAGCAGCGAGTAGGTTATTGAGGAGTTGTAGCCGCTGTCAGCGTCTGAAGAAACAGGAAATTTATTGCAAAGGCTGAAACGGAAAACAAACTGTCTTCAGCTTACCAATCGCTCTTATTCGAACCACTTCGGTGCCAGGGATTTGTTCTTCGCGAACACTGACAACATCTTCTTGTGGATCGACGATTTCTGGAGCATTATCGTTCACATCTAGAACGGATATTTTCACTGCCACTCTGGCACTTCGGGAAGGTTGTCCCTCGTCTCTGGCTTCAGCTACAAGGTCGTAGTATTCCTTCATTTCGCGGTCTAGAATGTCTTTGGTAGTAATTTCACCTGAAAAAAAAGAGCGTTGGTTTTATCTGATCTTTTTCGCATGGTATAAGTAGTCAGCTGCGGTTATTTGACTATGAATTTCTGCGACTCAAAACTTGAGTAGCAACAACCCCCTACACGAATAAATTGATAATGGTGGAAAAACACCATCATCGGTGAAATGGAAACGTTTTTATTTTTATTTAATTTTGATAACCTGAATAAATTACTGAAACCAGGAACGTTGATTGCGTCCAAATTGAAAATAGTCAGGAAAACATGAGGTGTGAAAAATATTCCAAAACAAAAGAAAATTAAAAAATGTGAACTCGAAATTTCGGGAATTTTGATGACCAATAATTCGCATCAACTTAGCTGGGATTCCACGTAAATGTGTTTTTTATGTTTTTTTAATAGGTGGTTTCCGGGCCAAAAACACGAGCACTCTTTTCTATCTATTCTAATCCTTTTCAAGTAAAAAACGTTTGGGGAATATTGATATTTGTCATGCCGCAAAAGTTACACGATGGTCAAGGAGTGAAACATTTAATTCATCAATCTTAAAAAACGCGAAAATTTGCAGACAAACAGTGCAAGAAAGATTATTAAATTATTTTTGTCATTTAACAAAACAGTTAAAAATTGTCATCGGAAAAATATGATTGTTATTTAAGCGATTAAGAATATTTTAGAGGCCTGTGTAGGAAACGCTTATTTAATTGTCGAATTGAAATCATCCATAAAAACAAAAAACTGCCTTTAAGTTAATGAATAGATTTATAGTTAAATCAAAGTGCAGTGCCTTCATTCAACAAGGGCGCTAATAAGTGAATTTAATAGTCTCAATAAGCTTGCACTAAACTAAAATTATTAAACAATTGCTGATCGGATTTTTTTTCCAAATTGACGAAAACTTCAATTGCGATAAAATATTTTTTAGCTAACTTTTAAGACGTTTAATACTTGTAGAGGACGCAAAATAAGATCGGTTCTATTTCGCACTGGGTCGCGCCGTTATTTAAGTAACTTTGCCAATATAATCCCGTCAAGATGTCTTGATCGAATCCATTAAAGCAGATTACCTGAAGAGATCAATTATGCCTCCATCGCTTTGACAGGGAACATAATTTAAATATCCGTATTAAAGCTGAAAATTTAATTCAGTCGACTTTGTGCTGCTAAATTATCATTGCAAACTTCACTCACTTACCGAGTACCTACTTTTAAATTGAAATCCTGCTAAGATTCAGAGGTATGTATCCGAACTGTTTGCCTCTGTAAATTATAAAAACCGTTTAATTGAATTTTCAACGGATATTTAGCATAGTTGTGACTACAAAGACGCAGTCTCAAAGCCGAAGTGCACATAAAGTCGCTGGATATTATCCTTAATAAGAACTCGCTTTAAAGTGTCATTTGAAATTAATTTTATTGCCTCAATCGCGTTTATCATAAACATCAACGAATATTAGTGAATCATTAGGCGTCGGTATATGAAGCGTAAATTAGCTGGGAAGCTAACTTTTGCCGTGCTTAATTGCTTCATAAAACTTTATGATATTTCGGTTCGAAATTATTTATTACTAGTTAAATTTTCAGTCATTAAACGTTCGTTGTTTTACTGTTCGACGTTATGTGCCATAGACCGCATATTGCAGGCATGCGTTTTCACTCTTATCTCATCTCTTTTAGAGTTCATTTCTAAAGCATTAAGATCGCTAATCACGGCTTGATTAAAGACCAATCTTTATCGCTTTCATAAGTCTCGTTGAAATCATGTGGCTGAAACATATCGCACTAAAAATATAATAAGTAGTTAACACTGTTTTAAAACACCGCTCGAGTGAGCACTAGATAACAGGTTTTAGTAAACATGACCTAATTTTGTACGCAGGTTTATATATAAATAAACCAGATATAATTTTGCCAACTTCATTCAATACCGTTTTTTTTGCATTCTTTACTGACGCGAAACAAAAACAAAAACCGTCACAAAAAGGAAACTTTATTCTGCCGCTAAACATTCAATTAGCTTAAAACACTTTATTTAAAACAACTAATTTCAAATGTTCTTATTCTTATTTTCGGATTTTCTTCGTTTTTTCATTGTAGATTGTACATAACTAAAGTTATTGAAAGTGTTTAAAAAACGAGTCAAAAAATTCCATTTGAAATCATATTATTTTAGAATATACCGCTTGTACTAACTGGAAAATTAAAATCTATTTTTGCCCCACGCAAAATTGATAATCACAAATCAAATACGAAAAAGAAGATTATTTTTATTATATTGCTATTTATGATTTTTAGTCACATAGAAAGAGTGATTATTCGATTAGTACTATTACAAATTACAACTATTCCAGCTGATGAATGAGCCAGAAATAATGAATGAACAGTTGAGCCACATTAGCAATGTCCTCTTAAACGTGTACACTTCGATATAAACAGTTCTGATTTAATGAGAATTGGCAATAGTGGCGATCCAGAGCCCAATAAAATATTGATTTTTAGGCGCACCTGAGGAAACATTGAGTTCAAATTTTTAGTGATTTTCCCAAAAAAAATGTTTCACCACTGAGGTTTTTCAAATTAAAAATCATTTTTGAAGTCCTCGTTCAATTTGTGACAAAAGTCTCTATTGCATTTTTTCGTAAGGAGAAAGTCGTTGCGAAACATCTCAATGCGTGCCGAAAATAAAAAAGTTGGTATCAATGGATCAAAAACTGCATCTTCGAGTTGTTTAACTGTAGAATCGAAAAAAGCTAGTTATTGATGATTAGCAGTGCCCATACCGAAAAAGCGCTAACTTTGAAAAAAGAAAACCGTTGAGTAATCGAATCGGTTTAATTTGCTAATCAACTCTGTTTTCTTTCCATTAAAATCAAGAAGCGAAAGCGCCAACCGAAAACGCTATAAGCCTCTTTTGGTATCTCCTTAGCGAAATCAGGGGTGTCAAAATTAATCATGCGTTGTCGACGTAAAGTTGTTTGCGGCCGTCTCAATTTACGGGCCTCGAAATGGAAAACGATATTTATGTGAACTCGCTCGCCATTAGCATCGAATGAGTTTTCGGAAACGCTCATCGATAATATCGCTTTATTTGGGCATTAATGGTTTTGTGACATTACGTGAACATCAGACTGAAAATAAATCAACAAAAGTGGGCGAGTCTATGCTCTAATAAAAAACTGGAAAACCGCCTAAACAATTCCATGACTCATCAAATGAAACTGATGACTAACTCGCACTTTTAGAGCATCGTGAAAAAGAAGTTCTTCCTGAAGTTCGCAAGCAGGAGTGTCTTGTAGCTTTCGAGGCGGTTTGCTCGGAAAACTCATCAGCTTCATTTTTCCTCACCTTCATACATTTTTTTTCGACTTTTCAAACACATCAGAACAGAAAATCATTAACTATTTTAATAGTCAAATTCAAGGAAATAATGCATTACTTTGCATTTTATTACAATTCCTGCAATACGGTCATTTTACCCGCAAAGATAAATGTTTCTGCTCATATAAAGCCGCAATAGTAAATCAATTAATAAGTATAATACAATAATAGGTGTCCGATTAATCAAAGGCATAAATATAAGGAGAAGCCAGGGAAACAATTCGAGTAAATACTCAAGTCGTTTATTAAGTCGAGTGTAATTAATCATTTCAACTAGTGCCAACAATAGGAGAAAATGACTTGAAAGGTCATAAGTGAGTAGACGTGAAATCAAATCGACAATTAGCAAATGCAGAGCCAACAAAACGGTTCCGCGTATTCGCTAATTTCATTTTCAATAAAACAAATTTACATATTAGCTTCCATTGCGCATTCTAAATCAGCAAGATAAACACAATAACGATTTTCATACACTTCCAAATAATTACCTATTATGCACGCCTAATGAGGCGAAAGTAACAGTTCAAGGTAAAAGCCATCATATGGCAAATAAAACGAGAAATTTGTATGTCAATTCCCAGCCACCAGTAGCTTTTAAAGACACGCCAAGAGGCGGTAAGTTTTTTGTTATCAAATAGATGGTGTTTAACGTTTTCGAACTAAATGAGTTTAAAAGGAATATTTAAAAAAAAATTAAAAGCCGCATTGCATTAGCCAATGTAAATAGGTAGGCACGTAAAAGCGGGGATTGTTAAACGTATGTACAGAAGAAGTTTTCTGTTTGCTCAAGGTGTTTGTTTAAAAGATTGAAGAAAGACGTGAAATAAGGAAATACCTTTTGCTGTTACGGTGCACTATTTCAGAATAATTTTAATGGATCTTGTGTATGCTTAGGGTGAAAAAACACTCGAGGCTCCAAAGTCATCAGAATGACAATAGGCGAAAGTAGATTTCGACAAAACTTGATCTTGAAAGACTTTCCGAGTTTGTGCATTACTCACCATTGATAGCGTTGATCTGGAAGCTGCTATTCGCTGGAATCAAGTTGTAGCGAAGATCAGAATTTAACCCAGAATCCGCATCAGTAGCTTGAATTCGGCCGACAAAAGTTCCGCGAGCTAGATTTTCTTCTATTTTAAACGCATAGTCTTCTTCAGCAAACAAAGGATCGTTGTCGTTTATGTCGAGGACTTCGATGGTCACTTGAGAAGTGGCCGTTTGCGATGGTAATCCATTATCTAAAATATTATGGATTGATGTAGACGAGCTCGCTTATTGAGGAAATAATTGTTCGCAATTAAATAATAACAACTTGGATTAGATTTTAGTTACTGTTACCTTTTGCTGCGACGACGAGATTATAACTATCTTTGGACTCTCGGTCCAAAGTCCCGTTCAAGTACAGCCATCCAGAATTGGGAAAAATCCCGAAAACATAATCATTGACGTCTCTGGAATTATTCTGAGTGATAAGCCGGTAGGTAATTCTAGCATTATTTCCCGTATCGGCATCGACAGCAGTAAACTGAGCAATCTGTGAACAAACAAAATAATATAAATTAGCTTTGCAATCATTCAAAACGTCTCAATCTTGAACGGTTCTAATTCGGATAATGTATATTATTATAACTAAGCCAATCTATTCGTGGGAGCATCTAAAGTATCCAAAGAAAAATTATCTAGGTTGTCGGCCCGGCTATTTGTTTTATTCAGCTAAATGCTCGTAGGTACGATGGTCATGGGAACATGCAAAACTAAAATTAGGTACCGCTAAATTGCGTTTGTTTAACTAATGTCAAGCGCGCAGCTATGTAATTTTTGTTCGGGCAAAAACAAACAAGAGAACACATTAAAGAAGCATTAGAAATGAAAATAGGCCGGGCAAAAAATTCAGAGAAATAATTATACCGATGATGGCAATGAAGCTGAATGTCCATGTACCGTATAATGCTTTGTCACGCGGTTCAAAATTCCTGCATGTCCGCCTCGGGAAAATAAAAGTAAAAGTCAAACGGGCATTAGTGATAAATGCTTGTAACATATACGTGTATATTCACATTTCTGGTGTCGTTAAACATTGTTTTATGCGTGTCGTTTGTGCAAAATTTATCAAAAATTCTTCCGAGTAATTTGCACGGAAAAACCTTTGAAACGTACCACTCACAGTGACTAACGATCGATAAAGAATCGAAATGGAACACCATTCAACCGATTATTAAAATTATAATTTTGTTAGAAGGAACATGTCCAACGCCAACACTCCAGATACCACTTTGCATAATTATTTATAGTATTAAAATACATATTCCTCGATCGATAAGATCATGACTTGCTTTGGGGACAATTCCACTATGGAACGTTTCAAATCAATTTGTCTTATATTCACATAGCAGAATTTCGCTCGATATTATCACTGGTTAAAACCAGTTGATTTATATAGTTTGAAGTAGATCTGGCGTGAAGTAGCACTGGATCTTACCTGAGAGTTAATAGGCAGCGACTCCAAAACACTCAAACTGTACTGGCTCTTTTCGAAAACAGGCGGATTATCATTCATATCCTGAACTTCCACTAAAATCGTCAAGTTCGTGGATAGCGATGGAAGTCCCATATCGGCAGCAGTCACAGTGATTGTGTGTCTTTGCACGTTCTCATAGTCCAAACGTCTTGTCAGAGTTAGATGTCCCAGTTTAGCGTCGATTTTGAACAAATCAGAGCCAGAGTTTGCCAGCTTGTATCGAACTACCCCATTTGAACCACTATCTTTGTCCGTAGCATGGGCGGCGAAAAGAGGAACTCCAATTTCCGCATTTTCCGGTATGGAAATTCGTACTATGGCCGATTCGAATTCGGGACTGTTGTCGTTTATGTCGTTAATATCGATATTCACCTGAAATAAGCAAAAGTTTGTTGTACTATAACTGTTCGCAGAAAAGTGGAATACAAATGAACGGATGTATAAACCAAAAAATACGTCACTCTAGAACTAGAGTGATTATTGAGGAAATTATATTTGAAGATTCGAAATATTCTGGAATTCAATTGAATTCGATGATGAGAAATCACAGGAAATCAGTTTCTGCAAGTTGTTTCAATTCCGTTGAATTGCAGAACCCTAGAAACCTGTTTAAGGGATATTAATTAAATTAGTGGATTCCTTGCCAAAAACATTGCTGCATGATGAATTATTTGATTTGAATAAAATGAATGGACTAAGTAGACATCCTTTGAAAGCGACTGGAACTTCGCAAAAATGTCTGAAACATTTTTTAGGCGACATCGCTAAAATTTATTCACTTTTCCTTATTTCAGAAGACGCTCATTCAATAAAAAAAAAACTTTCGTGTCTCGATTATTTTTATCCTATAATATTATCTTATTCGATAAGTAATAAAATAATGCTGGCTGCTTGTTTTATGAATCAAACTTAGTTTCTGCATTCTAAAAAACAATAAGAAATACATCAAACAAACAAAAATTGCCCCAAAAGTTGATATAAATGTCTCCAAAACTCTATTTTCGTTCAGAAAATATAACATTCCTCCTCGAATGTATTTTATATTGCAAACCAATATTAGTTGAACGACAGGCTCCAAAAATTCTGGACGTTGTGGAAAACCCACAAAAATCGATCCCAAAATAAAATGAAACATAAATAAATAATTAAATCATCAATCAGTTTGAAATCAAATTTATTGGCGGCAAACTTTCGTGGCATACGTAGGACTTCTAAAATTATCTATTGCAATTAACAGATAATAAACAAAATTTTTATTGACAATTTTTTAGTAAAGTTAAAAGAGCGTCTCTTTTTGTTTATCTTGCTTTTGCAATTGAACTTATTGCCGCTAGTTCTGGGCAGGGAAAATTTACAGTAAAAAAGCAAAATACCGCAACTAAACGCGTACAGATTTTGCAAATTTTCCACCAGAAACTCTCCTCACCGACAGCAGCATCAAAAGCAAACTATTTTCCGAAAACAAACACTTTCATTAATTAACAACTTACTTGAGTGTGGCCATAAACTGGCGGATTTCCACTGGTAGCTTGCACATTCAGCAACACTGAGGCTCGTGTTTCATGATCCAGATTTCCCGAAACCTTAATCGCTCCTGTGATAGAATCAATCCTGAATAATCCATCTGGATCGCCCGATGAAATCGAGTAGCGAACATTGTTCCTTCCTGAAAACAATTAGAACTAATTAGCAAACACAAATGTAAAGGGAATTTAGAAAGGCTTTACGAAATGCAAAAAAATGCCTAACCAGCGGCTTAGTATTAGCGCTCAAAGAAATCTGGCCATTGGAATCCGAACAGGAAACTGTTTCGTAATGATTACACGGTAAATCCTTGACCCTTTTGCAAATATACGAGACCGTGAAGACATCCTAATTGTTTCTAGATGATGCAAATCCCGCCAATAATTTACAATAATCCAATGGTAAGTAGACCGACTTACATGGAAAAAATACTGTTAAACTTCTGACTGGGTAATTTAATTTCAACTACAGTTACACATTATATTAGCGGATTATAAAGCGTTAAATTCTTGACGAAATTATGGCCTTTGCCTATACGTTCACCTGATAGCTAATTAGCTATTAATATCCCCTCAAAGGAGTTTGGAGTATACCGAGCTTATAAGAACCAATTAGGTCGACTTATTAAAAATTTATTCCAGTAATACCCATTCAACGGGCGCATTCTTCAATGAGAAACAGTGGCGATTTTGCGAGAAAAAATGTGACCGGGAGAATAAGCTTGCCCATAAATTTTCCTTCAACAGAGAGCTGGAAACAAAGCTCCTGATATTAATAATGCAATATTTGAAAGTGTAGGGTGAATAATTGGTTTCCTGCGGGTCGGTCAATGTGAATAACTTTCGATTTGGAAAATAAAACCAAAATCCTGTTTGGTTCTTCATCCTTCCAAGATCAGCAGCAATAAGGGTTTTTCAAATAATTTCCAGCTTAGCCAGCATCAGTTTACTAATTTATTTCCGATACTTTACATACAAAGCAGTTTTATTAGTTCTAAGGCCTATAGTAATTATTAGGACCCCTGTCCACTATAAAACATTTATAGTGGACAGTAAATGCCAAAAATGAGTAACGAAGCAAATAAAAAATCGTTTAAATACATTTCTTGTGTTCTCTAATGACGGTTTTGTTTAACTATATGTTTCAAAGCATATATGGAAGTTTAATTCCTCTAATAAATAACATTTTGTTTGCTTTGCCTCACACAAAGAGTCTTTAAAAATCTCCTACTTTAAACGGCCCATTAGTGAATGTTTTGCAATTTGGACTCCCCGGTCAGTGATCAAGGAGAATGCTTGCTAAACATTGATAATTTTTGAGCAAATCTACGCTCTACTGGAGTTCTAGCTCGGTAAATACTCTCATATGTAAGTAGCCTAAGGTAAAATCAAGACTATCTAAGTGTTTTAAATAAATATTCCTTTTAGAGAAAAACATCATCAAAGCATCTCGACGAGACATTCGGATTCTTCACTTTCCGTTTAATTTGCTTGGTAATGCTGTAAATTTGGCATAATACCCCACAGAAGGCAATGAAAGCTAAACTGTCGTTAAAATTTTAATCATTTAGTAGAGTCTACAAATGGTCGGTTATCACGGAACATTTGTTTGCGTCTACATTAATGGACATTCTTTCATATATTTTTCAGTTCGGTAACCTCAAATCGTTTACGAGTCCATAAACCGGCATGAGGTAATAGAGCTGTAAAGCCTCAGTTAGGGAAAATAGTGTCTAACGACCATCCAATCTTGGCTCAGATGACGAGTTATTAAGTGCATTCGTTTTATTGAAAATTTGACTACTGAACTAATGCGTTTTATATGCGGTGGCAAAGGAACTGAATGCAGTTTAAAATTAGTTTTATTTCAATATGTTTTCTGGTTGGAATTTTATTTTGTGGCGACTTTCTTTAAAGATTAGATGTTCTGAAGCAAAAAAATAGGCAGATAAAAATGCAGCAGGTAAAATTGAATAGGGATCCAAAACTGTTTATGCTTCAGTGCAAAAGCAAACATTAAAGTAATAAAAAAAATGCAACAGAAACGCAACAAAGAAGAGAATAATGTGAAGCTTTCAGAAACCAAATCAAAAATAACATCAGATGACGAAAGTAAACCAGAGCTGAAAATATTGGTTAAGAAGAAGAGAGACATTCAAAGCTCTGCTGATAAGAGATAAGTGGAATTGTGTGAAACTGCGACTGATTTTTGATAAACCGCAGGGAATTGCGGAATTTTTTATTGACTTCGAAAGGAAATTGTGAAGTGAATACATTTTTGCAGCCTGACAAAAACAAAACCTGCAGCTTGAAAAACGTAAATAAAATATAAAAGTAGAAGACAAACAGGTAGCAGGTAATAGGAATAATAAAGATTCGAGAGGTCGTTTATGATTGAAATGAGGGCAGGCTAATTTCAATGCAACTGCAAGATGAGTAAAATCTACATGAAATCAATCTCCATTCTTCTGGGACGGATTCAAACGAAACCCAGGCCCATGTGGTGTTTTATTTTGCGCAAAGGCAAAGCCCGTAAGTAGCTTAATATGGCCGGTAGTCGGTATCTTTCATCGAATTGTCAAGTCTCGTCACACACAGTTCAACCCGGTTGCCATTCCCATGGCTCGCGAAATTTAAGCCTTTTCGTGTTCTCTGTTCCAATTTGAATAGCCGACCAGTTTCGCTGACAGCGGAGTAAATCCTGAATACAATGGCCATATTTTCAGTTAGCATACTCCCAAAATGTCGTTTTTTTCCAATTCAAACCCGGCCTGCGAACGCATGCATCCCTCCAAAATAATTGCCTCTCTTTTCCGTTCTCGGTGCTTTTGTTTATTCCGTCACAATCAAAAGGCGAGTCGTTTTACCTAAATGCTAATAAGAACCCGAAACTTATTTAAAACGTATTTATCGTTGTCTTTAACCGAATCAATTAGATTTGAATGTTTCATTTATTTACAGACTTTCAACCGAGATCAACAGTTAGCTGCAATTCAATTTGCTTCGTGTTCTATCATTTTCCTATATAATTTCATTAAAAAAATATTGCATTTCTTCTTTTTCTTCGGCTGTCGATACGCTTCGAATGTTGTTGGCAATTATGAGTTCAGTCGCAGCAGGTCGAAGCACTTCTGCTGAACATGCTAGGCGAAATGTATTCTATACAGGGTGTCTCGTAAGCACTTGATCAAAAGGATACTGCGATCTTCTTTGCATCAAAAGAAGACGATCTGACCTAACTTTTATTAACAAGAAATGTCTGGTTCCTCTGCTATTGATGGTCAAAGTTCTTCAAAAAAATTATCTTTTTTGAAATATCGGGAGAATGGTTCGATGTATTTTAGTGAAACTCGCTGTGAATTCGTTCGTATATTAGACTCATATTTTGATGAAACAATCGAGTTCAGCCGTTTTGGACCAGTGTCCAAAATTCTTGAGTGTCGTGGTACAAAAACTACCAGAACGTTTTATTTGGTGAATGAAATCAACGCATTTTTTGCCGGTTGATGAGGCTAATCATAAAACTTTATTATCGATATGTAAAGTGAAATGAAATTCGCATTTTTTTTGCTATAAACGCCTGTTTAAACATTTACAGCTGTTCATTTTGTATATATTAAAATCTCACAAAAGTGCTAATTGAAATTGATGCAACTTTAACGGCTACATTTTTCGCACCTTGAAAGGCGGTTCTTTTTATTGGGGTAATCCAAACAGCATAAACAAAATTGACCTGTTCGCAGAAACCAATGACAAGATTTGACGAATTTAATAACTAATGGGAAAGGGAATTTCGAACTTTCAAAAACTTTTTTTTTTATTATTAATATTATTTACTAAAACTAGTCAAGCATGACCAACTATCAGTTTTTTTTCTGTAATCTTAAGATTGACAGTCAAAAGCTAAACCTGGTTATAACTCTTATTATGAGCTTTCAAAAAAATATATTATAAAGGAAAGCTGTTGCAGCATGCGCTGTAGCAGATATGAAGCATGGTTCTTATCAAGTAGGCCTTGGTAACACTGTGTAGAGTTGCGCTATTGAGTATTGCCGCTATCTGAGTTAATGCGTTATAACTCATCGGTTCATCAGTCATAAGTGATTTATTAAAGCTTTACGAGACCCGAGAATGGAATTTCCACATTTAAGAAAAGAGGTGATTAACATTTTTTCTGGGTAAAGTTTTACTGCTTTGTTGTGAAAAGAAGGCATCTAGATTTTCCCAGCAACAGCACGGAGTCCAACGAGAGTCGACGAGTTTTCTTATAAAACTGTATCTTATTTTTTTTGCATAAAAGATTCAGTTTGCCAGTATTTTACCATAAAACGTTAGGAAAACTGCGGTTTTTCTGTTTAAAGACAGTGTTGTTTAGAAATATTGACCTAAAAGTGAAGAAACCCCAGTTTCCCAGGAGTTTTCCAAATAATCGATTATAAACTTTCTCTTTTTCAGTTCGGGGAAATATTTTTGGAAAAATACCCAGAAATAATTATTAGGGTTTTGCCCATAATTCGAAGCTGCAAAAAGTTTTCCAAAAATGTTTGCAAAGCGGTTAAGGATGCGAGTGTTCCAATAAAATGTTATAATTTTTCACAGAAAATACCTGAATATTGTCAGTATTATTAAGTCAAACTAAAAAATAATGCCATTTTTGCGTAGAAAGAATTGCGTAATAGAAACTTTGTTAAAACTGGAATGACCTGACAATTTAAAGGAACTTTAAAAATCTACAGAGCGATGAGCGATGGGCGGCAAATTTGACAAATATTTTTTTGTAAACTTTTGCTTTCTGGTCGTTTTTTCAAGGTAAACCTAATTACTTTCGGTAAAATACTGAGTAAAATTATTTGGTTCCTATGCCAAATTCGAAGCAGAAATGGCTTTTCTAAAGTTTTCTGCAAACCGATGAATGAGGCGAATTTTCTAGCAACATTAATTTTGTCATTTTTGGTTGAAAACACCCCATTTTATCAGAAAAGAAGAAAATTATCAGAAACTGATGTTTTTTTGCGTTTGTGATTAAAAACTTCCAGTTTTGTGATCTGCGTTGGAGAAAACCTTAATGGTTTTCGGGGAAAAACGGGAGGAATTTATCGACGATGCAAAAAGATTTTAGACATTTTTTTACAAAACTATAAATTTATCTTGTAACTTTTCGCGTAAAAGACCTCCAGATCGTCAGTATTTTTAAGTAAAACTCTACAAAATAGAGCGTTTTTGAGTAGAAAGTAAAGCAAAAAAAATAAGTCGAAACTAAAAAAACACATTTTTTTAAAAAACCCTACAGTCTTCTGAGGGATGGAGGTGACGAGAAGATTTCCAAGTAATCTGTTCATTTTTTTAAAGAAAATTATTTGATTTTTGTTCCAAATTCGAAGCTGGAAATGGATTTCAAAGCTTTTTACAAAGCGACGAAGGATTTGAAATTTATTTCATAATTTTTCGCAGAAAATACCGTCAGCATTTTTAAGTGAACCTTTAGAAAATTGACCATTCAGAAGACAGACATCGGAAAATTTTGAAATTTTGAAAAAATTTTAAAAATATTATTAGTAAAGTAAATCTAAAAACAAGTAAAAAAGCCATCAACATTTTTCCAGCACCAAGCCATTTGCGTAGCACTGCGCCAACTCCTAAAAATTCCCTGAGTTACCGAGACCTATTAGCAAAAAAATTGAAATTTATTCACTCAGAATTGCCAGTTCCAAATACAATCAGGACATCGCATCGACTGAAAAATTAACAGTAAACAGTTTTAAGAAAACAGAGAACTGCAACGAAGAAATGAAATCTAAAACTTATGTTTCATCAAATTATGTACTTTTGGAACCATCCCGATTTTCGATAGTTTTTCAATTAGCTATCAGAACCACAATTTTTTGCAACAAAATGAAAAATCATTTTACCAACTGGAAAAGTAAAAAAACTAACGAACTTACTTTGATTGTTTGAAACACCGAGTAAACCCCTAACATCGCTTTGGTGCAATAGAGCCAAATTATTACAAAATGCGTCTAAATTTATAGGCCCAATCATTCCGCTAAATAATCTGGCCATTATTATTAACATTCATTACCGATATAATGAAGAAGATGATGGAACAATTATTAGTATCAAAGTCCTACACGTGATTCGCCATAAAATTTGTTTCCCAGTTTTCGATCGCCGAAATGATATACCGAGACCAATCAGCCATCATTAAGAGCCATTAGCTTGTTTAATTTTACTGGAGTTCTACAGTTAATTGAATAAATAATTTTTAGGCGTGTAAACCGATTTTGAAGCATCTGCTCGTTGATAAGTCTCAAAATGACTACTCACCGTTATTGATAACGGCCGCCTTTACATGACCAACCACAAAGTCCTTCTTCACATTCTCCATCACAGCAAACACATATCGAGCCTGATCAAAAATTGGCGGCTTTTGCGTGGAATCGATAACACTGATGAACACTTCGGCATCCTTCAGGGACTTGAGATTGCCGCCATCCGTAGCGCTGATGTTTAACCGATGGGACGGTTGACTTCTGGTTGATAGTTGATGAGGACGATTCACGAATATTTCTCCAGTCGTTCGATCAATGCGAAAAAGTCCGCCTTCGTTTCCAGCCACGATTCGGTAGTTAACAGATCCGAATTTTCCAGAATCGGCATCGGTTGCTGACACGACTACGACTGGCGATGTGGCTGAGGATGACGCTCCACCATCGCGCAGAGAAACGTTGTACTCTGGCGGGTAGAATACTGGACGGTTGTCGTTCACGTCGGTTACTTGGATTTTTACCATTGCCGTTGTACTCAAACCACCTGGAATTAAATTTAAAAATTACATTTTTGCAACGTTTCTAACATCTATTAGCGAATTTTAAAAAAATCATCATCAGAAAGCTTTGTTGTGTCTTAACAATAGCAGAAGACGGGAGTAGATGGGCTAGTTAATGTTTGGCGCTTTGATTTTGAGCATAAAATTAGAACAATTTTTATTTAATCGTTGTCCTTCTTAAAGTGACTAATCTTAGGTACGTACAGAAAAAGTACTATTATTTTGCTTGCTTGGTTGAACATGCTTTAGTCAACACCAATTTCCATTTTCACAGTTTTTATCGTTTTTTTTTACTTCTTTCGCATACTCTTTTTCCAGTTCTGTATTTCATTTATTTGAAGTATTGCGTTTGCATCTCTCTAACTTCTGGGGAAACGCAAGATTTGTTGTAGACATCGCAAAAAGTTTAATTTGGTGCTTTCCATGAAAAGAAAACAATTTTAAATGTCCCAGATTTTGAGTGTTCTTCAGTCTTCCCATGCAGTTCACGGTACCAATAGCACACCGTAAAACAGCGCTTAATTCATACAGAGACTAAAACTGTTCCAAAATCAGTTCCAGTCTGTCGCCATTTCGAACCGCTTCTGATCTCTATTCCGATTAGATCAGATGTGAAAGATTAGATCAGTAATGAGTGATTTTAAATGAGGATCCAAAGCAACAGTCTAAATCGAACCCGATATTCAAAAGAAGCGAATTTTTCCAAAATGTAAACCTGCAAGACTCGATAGCCATCCATTTTGACCACAATCGCGATACTTATCTTATGCTTTTTGCTCTCAAAATCCAATTTTAATCTCGACGTTGAAGTTTTCTTTGTTATTTATCGCTTTTGCCCATTATTTTCGCATATTCCTGAAATTCGAATAACTCACAAAAGATTTATTAGGCACTCTAGGCATCTTTGGTGCTTTGTTGCTCGAGAACCGGCCAGTTATTTTTCCATAGCTTTTTTACCCGGCCGTTGTTGAACATACACACTTGCTAGACGGTATTACATTACCGCAGATATATTATTATTACTTAAAAGTTGTGGTATAGTAAATAATACACGCCAAAGTGCAAATTATTTCCAATAAGTTTTCTTTAGTTAAGTTATTTGGAATGTGTTAACGGTAACCATCGGTTTTGTGTCTTTGCAAGTGGACACTTTGTTCGCTTTTAATTAATATTTTATGTAAATTTGCTTCCCGGTTTATGACACTTTAGCAGGACATTTATTTTCAAAATATTGTTTTGCGACAACTCGACGTTTGAAGTGTTTCACTTAATAGAAATCCGGATTTTGCTTTCGTCCAAACATTTGTCGTTTTGCTTAAAAACCTTGTTAATTTTGTGATGGTTAAACTGCTTGATTTTCAAACTTTAGTATGCCCTGATTGATCTACGTGGAAGCGATTATTCCTGCAGATCTCAGATTTTCGGCAAGGATTTACTTTCAACGTATTCAATTAACCGCATTCTACGACTCAAAAAGGGACTTCGTTTAAATTAAATAACGAACTTGTGAATGCCTCAAGATGTGTCCGATACTATGTGCGTTATCTCATTTAAAATGGGGCAAAAATTATTATTTTTTCGTTATGTTCGTTCCATGCGTGCATCGGATGTCTGTAATAATTTTTTAAAAAATTTCTATTCTATAATGTGCTAAAGTTCTGATGTTTTTCCCCAGCTTTGAAATAGATCCCTATGCAAATCCGAATAAAATATTCGAAAGTAGCATAAAATATAGGCTATTTATCGAGTGCAAAACGAGTAAGACAAAACTGAAATCACGATGTCATCGCATTAAATCGGTTCTCACGAAAACGTGCAACTAGTGTTTCCGATCGCATAATGTTTTTGCGACGTATGGCCTGTACCGATGTGTTTTATAACATGGCAATACATGAGTTTTCGATTTTTCGACCTTGCCCTTGTGTAAACGAAAGATCAATCTATAATCCATAGAAGGGAAATATTATATTTCAAATGTTATCGTTTGAAATTTTTGAAACATTTGAAACAACGGAAAATTATTGCTTTTAAATATCAACAAAGAAGAACTTGTTTTGATTTTTAGAACGAGTAAAACATTTCATTAATATCTTCTTTGCTCTCTTATTTATATCTTAGGACGATTCGTTAAAAAGCTGTTTCTGATCATTTCTCCAAAACTTCACCACTTAATTTTACGTTTAAGTTACGTAAAATCGCTTTTAATAAATGTTTTCAATTCGCTGGTTCCATTCAGCGTCCAATCCCAAATAGACACTTATTGCGAATACAAAAATCTGTCTCCGTTTTCAGTTGGAGGAAAAAGGCGCGTAGGCATGCAAGTAATTGTTCTAAATGGAAACCCATATTCCTTTCATTCCATAAAAATCCCCGCTTAATTGGAAGATGCATTTCGAGAAATTTCACTTATTCCACCAAGTACATTTTTCGCTCTTTTTGGCAGAACATCAGTTCCAGCCGCTCCATGCCGAATCAGACCTGCGAGATCGATAGCGAGTAATGAGACAACACAACTGCTTCGAAACGTCTTCTAAGAACGACAGAAATTAAAACCCTGAGATCCATTACAGGCCACACATTACGCGCTAGAGTATGAAATAAGGACGTGAGAATACATCTGATATACAGGACGTTGTAAGATTGCCAATAACAAGGACAAGGACGTGAAGAAATCAAAACAAGAAATAAACGGTGAGGTCCAGCTGCGATGTGATTTACCTATGAAAGTTGAAAGTTATAAGCGGCGAGCCGTCCCTGCTTGTGGCGATATGGAATCCTCAATACATTTATTTAAAGCAGTTTCAGGATTCCTTTAAATTTCTGCAACACAGGTATTATAATGCGGCGGGTTTCAATAACACTTTTTACTGAAACGTTCAGATTTATGGTCTATACATTTCTTGGCTTTTGCCTCTGCTCGAGAGCGCATAACGGGAAGTCCGAGCTCACGGCCTTTCTGGTTTCTAAATTTATACATTTCGGTTCTTAGCCGAACAACGAAATTCTGGGCACTGAAGGATTTCGAAGATAGGACTAAATATCATATACCCGGTGTGCAAAAAGGAGTTGCTTCCTCAACTTACCTCTGTCGGTTGCTATCACGGGAAATTCAAAGGCGTTTCTAGTTTCAAAGTCCAGCGTCGAACTGATGCAAATTTCGCCGGTGTCCGATCGCACTTTGAATTCGCGCAACTGTTCGAAACCATCCCCCAGAGTGTAGTTGACCACTGCATTCACTCCACAATCTGGATCTGTTGCGGAAACCTGAAAACCAAAAACATTCCATAAGTACGTATTATATTGGCTACTAAACGCTATAAAACCGAATACATGTCTCTTCATATTTTAAGCACAACCTATATCAGCCTATCGCGTACTTACGCCTTCACAACAATGTGCAACAAAATTACTTTCTTAGAAGTACATCACACCAAATACCTTACCAATATCTTATCTGTGCTCAACGCCTGCAAGGCCTTGTTTCCGATACAACACAGCTTTATATTTCAATAGCAATAATTTTCTTCGCAATTTCTATGAATTATTAACGTATATCGAAACAATTCATGCATATGATCACTTTGGGCAGACGTACGTAGGACTGCATAAGAAGACGTAAAATGTGCGAACATTTAAGGTTGCTCATCAAAAGACAAATAATGATTTTAAGTGGATTTAAGCTAATTAGTTAGTTCATAAAATGTACCAATGTGGAACCAATTAACCCACTTTTAAATTTATATTCATTCAGATCTTATGAATTGATACCTGGCCAATGTTCGCATATTGAACCATTCTTGACTGATTCTGGGTTTTTCGGCTGTCGGAATTAAAATTGTCTTCGCAAAGCACTGGAGACAGGAAATGCTTTTAATGTTACTTTCGGATTAAGGCTAATGTATTTCTTGAACTTTTCATTTGAGTTATTAGTATTGTGGAACGAAATTTTTCTGTCTTCATGTATTGATTGGGCTGATTTCCATTGCCAAGAACTCTTATCGTAATTTTTTCAACCAATCAGATAACTAATCGCTTTCCTCGTTTTTGCCTAGATGTAGTAGTTTTTTCCCCATTTTCCTATCAAACACAAGCCCATTGTCTTCCTCAGCTTGAACGCTTTTTCATTAGTTCCTTTTGCTGTCATCAGTGGGCTTAGATTCCGTTCTTGTTATACTCTCTGTTTTTGTCAAGTTTTTATTCTGTTTTCTCAGTATTGTTACTTTCAGAATATGTATATTTATATACAAATGTGGCAAAATGTACTCACATATTGTTTACGCAGGAATAATGGGTTTCGGTAAATTTGTCCCGTCCTAAATTGAGCAGAAAATTTGAGAAGAGTTGAGAAAATTTTCAAAGAACTTTAAGTTGAACCGCCTAGTTCGAAAAATCACTACAGGTTTCAATGTGAAATATTTCGAAAACGGTGTGAGATATCGACTTGAAACAAACAACTTTTCAAAACGTAAAAACGCAATATTTTTTCGTCAACAATATGTCACATGAGTTGAAGACCATGTTTGACCAATTTTAATTAATTTAAGCAGTTCGACAGTTACTCTCTTTGTATCATTTAAATCTTGCACTGTGCGTCCTCGATTCGGAACATTTTCAGAACCGAGCGCAGAAAATTTTGCCGGTTTTCCATATATGAGAATTATAAACCGCTCATCATTTGTGACCTGATTTGTAAAAATCGTTATTGAAACAAACGTTCATTCAATTTAAAAAAAAATTGAACAATTCTGATTAAGAGAAGTTAAATAGAAAATTGTCAGGTTGGAAGTGATACTCATTTTCCATAATCATTTATATGTATTAAAGGCATCAAATGATAAGGTAAACTTATAACGCTACAATGGCTTCAAACATGATTTGTAATAAAAATTTACAGAATCTTACATTTTAGACTAAAAATATTGAATTCAAGATTGGCGGTTTGAGGCTTAGCATTGCGTCACGATTTTCAAGTGAAAACAACTGGAAATATCAGCACGCCCTTCTTTTGGGTAAAACCAGGATTAAGACATAACGGTAATCTTAGGCAACTTGATACATAAATTTAGCAAAATGGCAGCCTTCTATTGAAAACTCATCAGACCAATAGAAGAACAAATTGTTAGAGAAAATTGATACGAAACACCCATGGTTGATGCATCTTCAGTTGACTTCATCAATTTTATGAGCCTTGCTTAAAGATGGTGGTATCGGCAGGAAAGCGACGATCCAGATAGTGGAACCGTCATTGTCCCATACCCATAATAAGACGGTTTTATGTCCCAAACTCGTGGTTTGACGATCCTTCCTGCTATCTTTCCATGCTCGGTAAAAAAATCACACAATGCTAGCACCGAATTTTTTTTTGTCGCTTACGCATTCTTCGGTGCCGAACGTTGACCCGTCAGATGGCGCTGATAGCAAGATCGGCGTGGGCTGTGAATGTCGCATTGGCGGTGTATCTCGTCTCTGTTACGTTGCCTGTCCATTAAAATAACGGCATATCAAGGCCTTCTCCGATGTGTATTCTCGACCGATGGTACTGCATTGATTTATAAACCTCCACGAGATTTAAGAAGGCATTTATAATCCAAGAAGTCAACGACGATCAACTCGGGTCATTCAGCATCAAGACTTACCGAATGGGCATTAGATCTCAACCAGCTAAATTCCCATATAAGTGGCTAGTTAAAGCAGGAATTATGGTACGGAACAGTTGTAAGGAAGTATGGAAAATATGCGAAATATCTAACTTTCGTATTCTACGCCTACAAAACTTCCTTGATTTGGCTCATAATATTTGTTGCGAAGCAATAAACCCCTTTGTTGATGGTTGATGGACTTGGTTTTAAACCCTTTGACAACATACAATACATATTATGAACTGACACTTTAATTCAATAAATTGGAATAGCACTTAAACGATTTCTCAATACATAAAATGAGCACGATATAAAAAAAATGTTGGTCTCGTCAACGACGTTCCATGAAATTCATATCTAAACATTTTCTGCTTATTCTCAGAGTATACATTTAGTATGGTTATAATGATAGAAATCTTCAACTGATGAAAAGCAAACGAATATCAGTCAGTTTCAAGCTCCCATGCCCATCTATTCAAATAAAGATCAAAGTTAGCAATACCTACATCTAATGTTCCCAAGTTCCCTAGGCAAGAAGTCATTATTTAATTTTCGAAGGTCAAATTAATAAAACCTACAACATGAATAATATTATTTGTTCAACGTATACAAAATGCAGATTTCCTGTTCAGTTAAGCAAGTACCTACTTAGCATTATTTGTCTACTAAGGCGGTCACCATTTCGCAAAGCCCGTCTATCTGACAGATCTTCATTAGCAGGATAGAAAAAAATTGAACTCGATTAGTTATCCGTTCAAATTACAAATGATCTCGACGGACTCCAGATGACAAACATGTCACAAATGTTTTACATAATGTACGATTCATACGGCGTGATATATTTATATAAATAAGTTCACTTGTTAATAAGGTGATAAAACTTCGTGACACCTGTACCAGCCAATAGACAAATTGCTGACTACTTTTGTATGAGTAATAACCCTATAAATATTGGAATATGCTTAAGAGTTGCACTCTATGTTCGGTTGATGTCTCGTTTAGCTGCTAGATTGGTGACATTGCCAGTGATCAGCCGGAAATAATTATTCAACTCGTGCAAGATCTCGTAAGTGAAAACTGTCGAAAACTTTCTTTTAATAAGGTCCCTAGTAATCATTCTCAACCGCATTAGAAAACATATTTTTTGGTGCATTTATTCAAACACTCAAGGAATAATAGAAAATAGCAATTAGGCAATCATCCAATGAAATGCAGGTGAAACAGTTACAAAAGTTTATATAACTTTTACAAAAGATTTTAGTCAGCCAACTCACATGATAATAAAAAAAACATACTTAAACAATTTAAAATGTTTGAGCATTTCAGTTGAGCAAATCAAAAGATTTGTTTCCTAATATGAATTTCCCGCCCTTAAAGGCAATGAATTGTCCAGTAAAATCACGATATCATAATTTAATAAGAAACTGAAAAAATCCGCTTTTAGCATCAGCCCATACTAGCTTCATCATTATCTATTCATCTGTCGCACACGCTTATGGAGTAATTTATTTTTTAATTAAAAAATATAAAATCATCGTTCATGTGGATCGCCTTAAACAGTAGAAACAGTAGAAATTTAAGTTATCCAAATCAATTCTTCAATTACATGCAAGAAAAATAAAGTATTTGCCGCCCCATTTCAACTTTTTCAGTGTAGCGTGCTTCAATTTCATGCAATTAATCCTATGTCACCCCATAAAAACGATCATTTCGCAGCTTAGTAAAGCCTGCAAGAAATGTGTCAATTATTGCACCATGACTTAACTCTGATCGCACCAATTCACAGCTCTTTTGTTAATTTACTGCACACATCGCAGACAAAAACTGTAACAGTTCGCGCTTTTTTTTTCAAATTCCAGATGACCAAAGAATCCTTTAATAGCGGACGTGACTCACCTTTCGATCATAGCCACTAAGAGGAAAAAGCCAAGTAATCTAATTATTAATAAAAATGCCATGTTATTTATATAAATCATAGATAAAAACAAAGCCAATTTAATTCATATTTCGTGTTTCGCTTCTCTAAAGACAGTCGTTCGTGTAAACGAGTGGTTCTTTAGCGGCCTAACGGTACATCGAGAGATTATGATTTAGTGTTCATAGGAATTTGAACTAGATTTAGAATGGCATCATAGTATTCCGGGAAACGCACACTCTTTGCAGGCTGAAAGAAGTCTTGCAAAATAATTCACTGGTGGAAGATGATTATCTCACGTAATATCTCCTGCAGGTCGGAAACGGTAAAAAAATTATTTTGTCCCCAACTAATTGAGCTTACATAAAAGAATTATTCAGAAACTGCACTCTCCTGACACTGAGCTCGACACCAGACTCCTGGCCAATTAACACATACTGGATTTCCTCCAAGGTTTTTCCTTTGGTTTCGGGCATCCATCGTACAATCAGGAGACATCCGGCTAAACTGCACATAGAGAAAAAAAGGAACGGATATGCCATTGACCCAGCTTGATCAACGGATATTTGGAAAATCTTCGACACCAATGCGCCCATAAGAACGGAAAATGTATCAGCAATACATAAGGCTTTGGCTTTTACACTAGTGGGGAATAATTCGCTCAGAATCGTAACCATACCGAAAGACAGTCCTATGCTGAACATGATATTGTAAGAAACTAGGGCTGTTATGGGTAGCCAAAATACGTAATGGATGTCAAAGCCGAAATCTTTGAAAAAGAAAAATAGCGACAATGCGAGAACAGCAACCGAACATCCAGCAGATGAAGTAATCAGCAGCATTCGTTTGCCGAATCGTTTAATGACGAGCAAAGTTGTAAGAACTACAGCTATCAGCTCCATGCCGCAGTAGACGATAACAGACGTGGTTGCGTCAATTGAGCTTCCAGCCTCTTTGAAAATCATTTCCGTGTAAAACATGCAAGGATTCTTGCCACTGAACTTGTTCGTCATGCAGACAATAACAAATATTAAGCAAGCCCTTCGATTGCTGGCTACTGTAAACAAATCCAAAACCCCCGCTTGATTGCTGGTTCTTTCCTGTCGAACCACTGCCTTAACTATGGAATCCACTTCTTCTTCCACATCTCTTTTTCCGCGAAGTACTTGCAAGCTCTGTTTAGCAGCTTCAAAGTTGCCTTTCTTGATATAGTAATAAGGAGATTCTGGTACCAAAGCAAAGGCCATCATATGAATTAGTGGTATCAGACAGCATATCAAACTGGACATAAATATATCCAAAAAAGATCCTATAACGTTGATGAATAGAGTTCCGGTGATGGCAGCTATAGCGATAGTGGACGTTAAAAAGTCGCGAATTTTCGGATCGGAAATTTCACCGATGTACATGGGCAGCACTGTATACAACGCGCCTTCCACTGAACCAATCAGAAAACGCAATCCAGTTATTTCCCAGATTGTGGTGGAAAACGCTATTCCGATGAAGCAAAGAGACACCCAAGGGGCCATTAGGAGCGTGGTCTTCTTGCGGCCAATTTTGTCTACTAAAATCGCTGCCAGAATGGCACCAGGTGGCGCTCCTAGAAGAGGAGCCACAGCGCACCAGGATCCTTCATCGTTCGTAGTTGGTATGGAAGAATTAGCAGATAAGAGCTCTGGAAGATAGGGGGACGTCCATCCAAGATTGATTCCAGAGCTTAGTATCGAGATGGAACCTAAAAGTTCGTCATGTGTATGTCTAAAGTGTGTAACTTTTTCCTTGGATGATTATAAAACTGCTTTGAAGCAACAAGCAATAGATGAAAAAGGCGTGGCCTTTACGGTTTTGCCGACAAATAAGGTTTTGCAATTAAAAGCATTCAAATTCTCACTTTAATGACACATCTTAAAATTGACTATAAAAACCGACTCAAAGGGGCATACATAGGCCATAATATTTAACAGCTTTTTACATAATTCGATGGAAATTGCAATTATTATTGAGTTATTAAAAACAATGCAAAAATAATCATGACCTGGCATCGCTTATAAGATTATCTGAAATATATGGTGGTAAAAAACATATGTTTGGTATTGCGTTTCTGTCAGTTAGGCTTTTGCTCATTTGAGATTTGCAATTCATGCTTCGGGCCAGGCAATGTTCGCTTCATGTTAAAGCAAATGAAGGTTCAAAGCTTTAATTTTCTATCGCCAAGGAAAATGTTTAATCAATGCTGATGCTTGCCATTATTGCTAATAGTTGGCGCTATAAAACTACCAAGTTTCTAATTTGGAGTTCAAATTTCAACAAGTTTTGCTAGTGGTTCCTATGGATGATGTTGGGGTTTTTACATTGCGGATATGTGCTATTCAATACGCGTTTTGGTGAACAAAACTCGAATAAATAAATAAATTATTAAAAGTACAACAAGTGCAGATAATTGGGAAAGCTGATTATGTAAAAAATTCAGCTTTAACAGGGGAAAACAAAAAATGGGACAGAAATATATTAGCGATTCGGCAGGTGTTTTGGCTTTGAGTGATGAAAAGAATGTAAAACAATTGGCTGTTTTTAAAACAAAGTTTATGCTTTAGTGAGTTAATTTATAACTATAATCAACTATGGTAGTACTTGTGCAATATTTACCGGCTACAGTAGCAAAGTATTGAAAAAAGTACTCGTGTCTAAATTTAATTTGATGCAACTTCATCGCAATATGACACACATCTTTCTTTCTACTTGGTATTTACTGTACGAGCGATTACCATCTGATGAAAATAGCTGTTTGCTCAAACCATTTATAATAAACCATTAACGCTAAGTAAATTTGCTTTACTCTTATTCGGACAGTGATGTGCTTTCTTATCTTGATTTAAGACGTCTGTTATGTTATACAAAAATAAAGTCCAATGCATGGAAAGTTTGCTCTTGTTTCCAAAATTAGCACAAAGGGAAGATAGCAAAATGCTTTAACATTTATTCGCGGCTGGAAATAGTTATTAGGTGTTCATGTGTGCTCACGACATGTGATTAGTGTAGCTGCACAAAGTGGAATGACTTGTTTAAAATGCACTTTAGGTTGAAAAAATTTTATATTTAAACTCAAACAATAGGATCGAATCCATTTGTTTTTCATCTTGATAACATTTAAATGCAAAACGTCTCATTTCAGCCTGCTCTTTGAGATTTGCCGTTTGAGAAGTGACTTTTCGAACGTGTATTGCCCGGTGATCTTCACAAACATTTCGAGCCAAAATCAAGCGGAAATTATTAAAATTTTTCAGTGCAGAATACTCAATGCGTTTTGCGTTATCAGTTTTATTTGCTTGCTAATCGTTAGCATTAATTTTTGTAGTCAACGCAAATGTTAGTCGTCAACATGACCACGGCAACTAAGTGCATCTGAATGACGCTCAATAACAACTAGACGATAAATATTATTGAACCAAACAACACACTGAAAGCTAGATAAGTTCAGTATTGTTGAGGCGGATTGATTTTTTTTATACAAACTGCTTGTTGGGTGTTTCGCCCCAAAAAATTGTGCATTTTAAAAATTAATTATTTTCCTACTAGGTGATAGTTCTTGCTTACTTTTTGATAAATAATTGGTTCATATTGCGAAATAAGAGCACTATTTATCAATCTGTAATAAAATACGTGAGGAAATATTGACAAAAATTTTTGAGGCGAAATACCGAACAAACAGAACAAACACTTTGTATAAAAAAACGCTAAAAGTATTAAAAATTTACTGTTTTTAACATGAATTATATTTACAGTCCTTTTTACAAAACAGATACTGTTGAGAACAGTAGATAATGAAACTAGATTCAACAGTCCGTATTATAAACTTGATTTGTTACAATTTCCTCTTGAGTTGTTTGTAGCAGAGGAGCGGAAGCCATTCAAGCTAGAAGAAATATCTACGTTCTGTTCTTTGCCATCTTCGGATAAGGCTGTTCAAACATCAGCAGGTACAATTTTGTAAATATTAAAAAGAAAAATAGCTGTTTTGAAAAATAAGCAAATGGCAAACAATTCAGGTTCTAGATTTCAAAATGTTGCCGATAATTCTTAGAAAAATTAAGTTAGATTCGCGTAAGTATCGATGGTTTAAACGGTTGCCGATTGACTAAGAATTTGAGTATGCGAAAAGAGTGAAGTAATAAGTCCCGAATCATTATGAAAAGCAAAAAACCAAGAGGCACAAAAGGCATTTCTCATCTTTAGTCGCGTCGACGGCATTCGCCTGCAGTAATTGTTATGTGCCATAAAAAGTGGCAGCTCCGACATGTTTGTTTTCTTTTAAACGTTCCCTGATAATTCCGTAAAGCAGCTGTGTGAATTCGCCGCAAATGACTTAATCTGCACTTTTCCAAGAATTAAGAATCTTTCCTATTAGTGCGCCATATTAGAGTGGATGTTGCACCGCACGTAGATCGAAAGAATTCATGTCCTGCCTTTTTAAAGCTCAAAGTTACAATAGATGATTACTCGATGGCATCTTGTTGAGGATACTGGTTCGAAGAAAAATGGAAATATTATGTGCAGGTATCAGTCGCTTTGAATGTTGGTAGCTAATTACATTATACGAGGTGAGCGACCAACAAGTGGAAACAGATTTGATGAATTTCGGGAATTTATTACAAAACTAAAATGGTATTCAAACTTGGAGTGAAAATTATTTAATTAAATTATACACCTAAAGGTTCTGCAATTTGTTTCTTCATTCAGCTTCTCCCATTTATCTCTTGCATTTTTAAAGTTCCAACAGTATATGGAAAATGTTACATGTAATGCGAAATACTTGCACTTAAACAATCTCATTCTACCAGCTTATCGGATCTGAAAACACTATAGGCGCTCTAAGAAAAAGTCGCATGCATTTTGTGAATACTCGCAGCTTCTATAATAGTTCGACTACCTGACGTATCCCAAGTCCAATATCAGAAAAACAATAATTATGCGCCGATATTCCCTTATTTTATAAACCCGCTTGAATAAAATAACGTTTAAGCCTCTTTTTGTGAACATGCTCGTATGAAATTACTTTTTAGACTTAGTAATCGTGTATCTACTAGTTCGCGAAGCTGCAATTTATCACAACAGCCTTACCGTTGATTTATGACCGAAGAGCCTTATACTGTAATTAAGCGAGCTTTATATTTGTAATATTGACTGTTTTTTTGTATTTTCCTTCACTTGATATGTCTATACTTTAAACGATTTAGTAAGCGTTACCGTGTGAGATTTAATTTGTTTCTAATCGGCTGCAGATAATTGGCTTGTGTCAAGTCGTGTCAATATCTATTCTGTTAGTGGGAAAATACGCATTGAAAATTTTATTATTTTTATGGCGTTTTCAATAGTTGAGTGATGAATTAAAAATGCAGGTATTTTAAAGTGGCATTGAAGTGCTATTCAAGGAATGCTAAGATAATTTCCAAGTAAATCAATAAGGACGTTTCATAAATGTGTAAATAATGTGGCGCATAAATATTACTTCGTGTAGGTTTTGAGATGCATCCATATTGCAGTTAACTTCTGATCTAGATTCATTTATCTTCCAGTTGTCGGCTGAGCTTAGTGTTAAGCAAAAAAAGATAAATGACTTTCAACTAGTTTAGCGTATGGAAAAAGAACTAGAAGCGTTTTTCTTTTTGGGCACAAAACGGTTAATAGAATTCCTAGCATTTGATCAAGCAAGAAATGCATTGTGGAGAAGCCAGCACAAAAGAACGGTGCTTCTTCCGCTTTAAGAGTTTATAATCTAGTTTCTTGTTCTTGTTCTAGTGTGTTAAATATATATCTGTGGAATTTCAGGTCTGTGTGCAAATTTCGCTGTCATTTCGTGTATCTTCCATCTATCGAAATTTAAATACAATTTTGGTAGATGTAAATGCGCTGCCCTCTTCTCCGAACGCTTACATATTTGAATTGTTCAGTATGCAGATAATGTATTAGCATGGTTTTCCATAATGCCGGTAATATAGTCCCCAGGTTCCTGTAGGTTGGCGCATTTGAACTGGAATACAATAGAAGGTGTTATTTTGCTTACTTTATATTTAACACTCGATTTTCCATAATGCTAAAAGCGCGATCGTCGGGCGGGCTCCTTGAGTTGCTAATTCTGCCGTTCTCCGTAGCTAATTCAAATAACCTGCTATATTGTACTTCATTTTCACGCTCCCAGTTTACGGTCTTACTTTATTTTCTTTAGACACGTGCCAATAATTTTAAAACGAACATTTTTAATTCACATTTTTCAACCGCATACAATCGCGCTATAATCCAAGGTTAACAACGTTTTCAGCTCTTAAAAGTTCCATTAAAATATATGCTCAGTACTTTTCTCTCTTGGAATGGTTCAAGATGGTAAATCAAGCTCTAAGTTCATGCTTCAAGTTCCACTTTAGATACGAATGGCAATAACCAAAAGTGCTCTAATTTTTGACGCAGACGATGTAAACAAGTATTTTAAGAATAGTTTCAAGAATTGCTCATGTTTCCAAGCAAAGAGAACCTGCCTCTTCAGCGCTTCGCGTTCTCTTCGGAACCGGCAAGTAAAATGCGGGAATAAAATGGCAAAAATCTATCCGATTCTTTCCATTTTCCAGAGACATTTACACATTGCCAGGTGAATCGCTTTAAAGAAGAATTTGATAACGTCCTCAATAAAATCATATTCAATAAATTTCACAGCTTTTTAGCAATTTATTCATTCGCAGATTTAATTAGTTGCGATCGCTCTCACCTGGAGTTGCAATCCATATTATCATCATTATCTTCAGCAAATAACAGTTTGATGTATACCGCATTTTTACATACATACATCTACTTTTTACTACATAAATTGTAGTTATTAACGCATGTTCATTATTAGTTAATTGAAATGTATTTTTTTATTCTTCAAATTATTAGAAATTTACACTCTAAAGAAAACTTTTGAAAAGTCTAACTGCAACACCTTAGTATTTCTAATTAATTTCTTGCAAGAGAGTATTATGCTTATGTTACAAGTTAATATTTAAGTTGAAAATTTACGTATTAAAAGTGCATTTTCGTATAACCAGAAACAAATTCAAACTTTGCCATTGCATTATCCATTTGTATGCTTAGTGGTCGTTAAACTGCTATTTCCAGTACTTTCTGTTACACATAAACGCTTTTCAAGATGCTTGACTCAACTCAATATGCAGAGTGATTTGATATTGGCGTTATTCCTCCAAAAAGGTGATGGGAATTTACTTGAAAAGTAATGAGAAAGCCGATAATAAACACAGTTTAGATTTCAAAGAAATTCGCTCTTATAGATGCAACTTTATAATAGCGTTTCTATGAAGTTTTCTAAAAGGTAGAAAGGCGGAGCTCCAATGGTGCAAAGAGGAAGACATTTTTTTAACAATTTGGTCTTCAAATCCAAATTAAGAATAGCAATTTTTGGCCGATTTGAAATAGGCCAAACCGCCTTTTTCGAAATTATTCTAAATTCTAACTGAGAAGTTACATTTTCACGAAGTCAAATGATCCGAATTCATTCGCTTTTTTAAATTCCCTTCTCGCTAGTTGCTTTTTACTAATATCTGGGCATAACGTAAAAATTACTAAGCACTTTATCAATCAACTCACTCAGAGGAATGTAGGGTAATTTTTGTTTTATTAGCTGGAATTTCTGTTGCAATTTTTGTTACAATTGATTTTGCCGTTTCTCCTTAACATTCTGCTGTTTCATTTACGTCTTTCTGCCCCTGATATTCCGGTCTGCTTTAAAACATTCTCTT